TTACCTCTGAGCCATCGCCAATCAGGTTGATTTCCGCCTCCATCTTATCCACCGCTGATTTCATGGGTTCGGGGGATTCAGAAATACATAGCTCTCCCTGATGCTCCGTGACTTCATCCAATCTAGATCTCTTTGTCACAGGACTTCCATCCTCATCATGTGGTCGTTTTAATGAGAATAAAGATTTTCGAACTGAACTGAAGTCGGTGATTGTTCTACTCGACAGAAAACAGTTGAGCGGAGATCCCTGAAAAGAGATAGCAAATATCTTGATACATGTAATAGAAAATGTATTGTGTTTGTTAACGTGACACTCAGAATTATTCCAGCATTATGAAGGCGGCCTGAAAATAAACGAATCAGGGCCAGACAATCCCGTGAATGACAACATGAGGCACGATACACGCCGTCGTGGTATGATGACGCAAAGTCACGGCGTCTGATCATCGATCAATTTTGGTCGCCTCCTAAGACCAGGATAGGTTGTTGGGGGCCTAATCTAACCCGGAGTCCCAAGGATCATATATTAGGAAATATTACGATGCATTGTGAAGGTGCATTGTCTGTTCAGGTCCTGGTAGATATATCTATGAGTATCACGTGTTTACCCACAATTGGTGAACACTAAAAGCATGGTATGTTGTTCTGTGGAAATAGCAACACTGTCGGGACATTTACCTCAGTATCACTCCCGTGAGATTCGAAACCGCTGTCACGTGAGTCATCATCGTCGTCGTCGAAAGTGAGGCTACGAGGCAAAACGCCAGCATCTTCGTGAATACCCAGAGTACCTAATGTCACGTGATCAGGACTATCAAGGCAAGGAGGCGAGGGGGTCATTTTAAACTGAAAATAATAATTACATTGTTATGACATTGAGTCTTATTTCATATTGATAAATGAAGATACAAAATAGAGGTAACAATAAAGCTGGGACTGCATTTCAGAAACGTAAGTGATGTGTTGAAGGTATTTAACAGCCATGATCTGACTGTTGGTGAAACATTACAACGTCTTCAATAAAGATGAATCCTTACCTGTAGTTTCTGTCTTCCTGTTTGACAAAAAGTGTGAGTTTTCTTGTAGTGACTGCCCCTGTGTCAGATACAACCGTAGCTAGTTAATGATGTCCCCTGCAGCCTCCCATACTGTATATATACCTATACACTATCAATGACCTGATTACATATACAAACTACTTTACAACTATTGCACACTACCGTTAACACTTCTGGCTAATTACTTTATTAGGAGTTAAACAGCCACTGAAAGTCTGTAACAACAAATCCAGTCTAAAACAGAGCAATTATAGGAAGCTAACACCTCGTGGGTTACCAGCGCTCCAGCTTGGGGAGAGACGGTGATGGCTTGTGTGTCCAGTGTTTCTACACGGGGATGAGAGGAGATTATCGCCAAGCGATAATCCAGGCGGGGTATCAAATAAACCGATAATTGATGTTGGAATACAGGTATATTAGATAAGAGGTATAAATTAGACATACCCAGTGTACAGCTCGTTACATTATTTGTGTAGGACAAGCGAGGAAGACAGAGGTGGTGGCTGATGGGGCCATAGAAAGGTACACAGGTGACAATGTGTAATAATCTACAAAGATTGGTGCACAGATTATGTAGTTAACAACACTTAAATATTATAAGTGTTGTTTACTAACAAACTAGATCTTATTTGGGTCAACAGGAACGTCAATGTGATTTGGACGAAGCAAGTACTTGAAAATGTCCTTTTGTATTTGTTGACACGGGGCATTGACATATTTACAGTATTCACCTGAACGCTTATGATCTATTTCTAGCGGGGATGGTCAAGAATGGCATCACAAAAAAACGAGGTTAAATTAAAACCTCTGGTGTATAAGAACCGGGAAACCAGTGGTCGAAAGCATGAGCACCGACCCATAACATCAGGACTACATATATCTTTAGTTATTTCTAACGATATAGCTATTATATCTCCAACTAGACGTTCTTGGTGAAAATAAATTATACAGGACAATAGTTATACAAGACAATGATGGCGCAGAGCATCGACACATTCCCTTCATAATGGGCTACACTTTATTTGTAATGGCACCAGGTCTTATTTGGGTCAACAGGAAAGTTAATTTGATTTGGAAGAAGCATGTATTTGTAGATATCCTCTAGTATTTTTTGATTAGGGGCATTGAAATAAATAAAATATACATACGTTACACTTATCACATGAACGCTTATGATCTATTACTAGCTCATTTCGTGACATGCTTAACGAAATAACGGGGTTGGTCAAGAAATGGCACCAATAGGGACAACTAAAAATTAAAGACGAATCGTGACACGTAAATAACATCATATTGAAAAACTACGCATTAGAATGAGTTGAAGTTTACGCTGGTTTTAACGGTATTTTCATTTTCCCGGCGTGTCAGCTCACTGTGGAAGAAACATCCTGAACTGCAGACGGAGACGTTAACCACGTTTGTGCAACACCAAAACACAACGCATTAGACATTTGTTTATGCATTTTGGCTCACTTGATATTTTCTAGCCAAGTAATATCATATTATAGTGAATGTCGTAAGTTGCTGGTCCATACATTTGATTGTTCTGTTTGCTACAGTACTTAGTGATGCTGTATACTGACTACAGTCGTGCTGTGTGTTACTTAATGACACAGTGGCGGTCGGGTAGCCTAGTGGTTGAAGCGTTCGCTCGTCACGCCGAAATCTCGGGTTCGATTCCACACATGGGTACAATGTGTGAAGCCCATTTCCGGTGCGCCCCCCCCCCCCCCCCCCCCCCCCCCCCCGCCGTGATATTGCTGGAATATTGCTAAAAGTGGCGTAAAACCATACTCACTCACTCACTAATGACACAGTGGCGAAATATGAGATGATAATTATTCAACCTTGATATTTACCGCTTATAAGGAGATTTATTTTCTAGATTTATTTTTCCATATGTTGCAGTTGACGACTTATTCTTACATTGAACATTTTTATTCAACATGTTTTCTTTGTGTTATTATTTGTAGTTTCCATGCCTCTGTGAACATCATCCTTGACTAAAGGATGCAAAAGGAGCAGAGGATGTATAGAGAAGTTTTAGAATGACACACTGTAGAAAATGAGAGACAATAGTGTGCTTTGTACGTGATTTAAAGTATCAGACAGGTTTTGTTTTTCAGACTAGAGTGTGCTGATGAATCAAGCCATGTCTTCTTCATACGCCAACTTGGAACCTGATTGTTAAGGCTTTGCAGTGGAATCTGTTTTGACAGACAATAGACTGATTAAATTGTTCTCTAGCGTTGACGTAATATATTTCATTTCACTGATAATAGGACAACAAGGAGAGAGAGTCTTTCATGCTTAGTTTTACATACATGCATTGCTGACAATGATAAACTACGAACTTATAAATAAAATAACGACTTTCCCTAATATTCGCCGACCTTGAGCACTGAACTTCGCATTCTAGATAAGTTTTAATTCCTATTCGTGATAACTGACAGCATTTGACGTTTGAAAATGTATAACTGTGCACTGTCAGACTGAGAGTAAAAGAATAGTAAAAATGTGTCATTAATACTTTTTCAAATATTTTGTCTTCAGTGAATCTGTGATCAAAGCAGAATGTCATCTGGAAGCAAGTACAGACACTACCAACACACAGGGAATTGCCTTTGGCCAGGGACATGTCACAGGTAGGTATGTACCAGAACTCGAAAAGAAAGTTTACTGTGGGTAGACAGTGTTAGACTATCAAGTCGGCGAAATGGGGCACTTCCAGAGTAACTGTATACTTGGGTAGGTGTTCATGGGTGATCTGGAAAAACATTGATCAAGAAATTAGGAGAATTTGGTATTTCCCTGGAGAGAATTGAATACTTCACGTATGCCATCATTACTGTCACCCTCTCCACTGTCATCACATCTGGCGGAATAATTCAATGCTAAGTTTATTGGTGCTGATTTTGTAGATGGTGAATCTGTGAGCTTTTAACAGTATTCCAGCTATATCAAGACGAGTCAACTTGATGTGGGAGGAAAGTTCGAGGTAATACAGGTCACAGACGTTAACCACTTTGGTGAAACCTACAAGCGCGGATATGGTGTTGGGCGTAAAAAAACAAAATAGCGGTGAAAATTATATGACTGGATCAGTGAAAATGAGTAATGACGTCACGCGGAATGTTATGAACGGCTGATTAGATATGTAATGCATTACACGCCATTGTATCACGCCAGGCATATATTAGTCTTCTGCTTGGTTTTAGCAAGTAAGTTTAACATTTATCTAGACTGATTATTCTCTTGCATTAACAATTTATTTGTATTTGGTATTTCCCGTCACGTTTAGTCAATAAAGTATGAAGTATCGAGGAAGTGGTTTGGTCAGGAAAGTGTCAATCATTTTGCTGTTAATCAATTCGAATTATATGATAAATTGAGCACTTAACGCTTTGTCTATCCCATTTTAGATAAATACAAGTGACAAACTATAAGAAATCTCTGCCAAAAGCAGAGTCGATTGTACGATTCCGACTATATCATGAGCATGTGTTTAACTATCAAATAGTGATGACACCAGTTGTTTGCTAAAAGAGATTCGTATCCTGCCCCACCAGTGACATCTGTCACAAACACATGTCAAGGCAAGTCATTTGTTCACCTGAAAACAACACGTTAACATATGGTACAAATCAAGATAAGGAATTGCATCATGTTTGTCACTGATGCATCAATTTACGTCAGAAATGTTATAAATGGTACCTCAAGTATTTGTTGTACAAACGTCCTAAAGACAGATTGCATATTGACTATTGATAGCTGGAACGCTTGGGAAAAGAAGAAATATATGCATACAAGTATACTTTTTATTTCGGTTTTAGACAACATAGACAATCAGCACTAAAATGCAGAGAACGATCAACAAATAAAGATACATAACAATGTATAAATATCAACAATGTCAAAAGTGATCTTTAAGTGATGTCGGTATTACAAGAGTGAAAATTTAAGTGGTGAAACATCAATTTCTAAACATTGACTCCGCAAGTATCTGTTTTTTGTGGTCTTGTTCGACTTGGACTTGGACCGGAAGTGACGTAGTTGGCTGGCGTAGTCTGGGTGTAGCATGGGAATGTAAGTGTTTGGTTGACACTGGCGCTGAAAGAAGAAGGAACATTGTGCGTAATGGAATTTCACTGCAACCTCTTTTTTAAAAACAGCTTTGTGAAATACGTGATGTATTAATCAGATAAAGAACTATACATATGCTGTTTCTAAGTTTCACTGACATAATGACAATGATTAAAATTGTCTGTAAGTGAAATGTGAACGCACCTGATGTTGTTCATAGAAGGCCTTGTAACCGCCATCCAGCAGATACACTTCCGGGTAGAAGAGGAACGGGTAGCGGTCACTGTTCAACTTCCGGTCTAAACTCCGCAAATGGCGTAATCTGGGTTTAAGAATGTTTGCATCAGTTGAGGAACATCTTGGTATGAACTGTGTATAATAGCATAAAACTATATATCGACTATAAACTATTTTAAGTCTTAGTTCCATGCCTGGGTTTGGTCAAAAATCGAGGACATCTTTAACCAGTTAAACATTACCCGTCAGTGTTTAATGAAAAAGAATGTTTCAAAAGGGGTACCACGACTTACAGTTTGGGTGCTCTCTCTGACGAGAATTCACAGTGGAAGACGAGGATGTTCCGCTGATTCGACTCCCTCCCCCGTAGGCTGGTGACTAACTCCTTGATTTGAGCCTCGTTGTGGAGATTTATGGCACCCTGTAAGAACCATGATCATAGGAATGAAAATATGTACAAAATGTCTTGTGAACGCTATTATGAATATTTATGATTTGTACGGACATTGCATCATTGCCGTCTTAAACATCAACAAATAACTTTTATTTACCTCAATATGACCACCCTCATATTCATACGGGTATCGACAGTCGATGATCTGGTACCCGGAAATGACGTCATTGTATTTGCCTGTCAGAAGGTGACTGGCTGTGCGTGGAGACACTGACTTGAGATCCTTGTGTCGGCCTGTGATGGTCGGGAGTCTGTGGCACTGGATAACAAATAATGACTTGAGTATGCAATGAAACATGATAAACCGAAATTAATGAAAGTCATCTCCTGTAGACCATTTCAGATTAATTTCAAAATATGAATAAGTCGTGAACGAGCAACGAATAGTGTGTAAACACGTGTGTGGTTTATTAATATTTGCCATACATAAATTATTACCTCTGAGCCATCGCCAATCAGGTTGATTTCCGCCTCCATCTTATCCACTGCTGATTTCATGGATTCGGGGGATTCAGAAATACATAGCTCTCCCTGATGCTCCGTGACTTCATCCAATCTGGATCTTTTTGTCACAGGACTTTCATCCTCATCATGTGGTCGTTTTGATGAGAATAAAGATTTTCTGACTGAACTGAAGTCGGTGATTGTTCTACTCGACAGAAAACAGTTGAGTGGAGATCCCTAAAAAAAGAGATAGCAAATATCTTCATACTTTTAATAGGAAATGTGTTTTGTTTGTTTACTGTTCAGGGTCGCACTCAGAATTATTCCAGCTATTTGACGGCGGACTATAAACCAGACAATCCAGTGAATTAAAAGTTGAGGAACAATACACGCCGTCGGGATATGATGACGCATTCAGCCAAATCATCGAGTCTGATCATCGATCCAATTTCGTTGCCTCCTAAGACCAGAATAGGTTGTTGGGGGCATAATCTAACCCGGAGTCCCCAGTATCATATATTAGGAAATATTACGATGTATTGTGAAGGTGCAATGTCTGTTCAGGTCCTGGTAAATAAATCTACGAGTATCACGTGTTTACCCACATCTGCTGAACACTAAAAGCATGGTATGTTGTTCTGTGGAAATAGCAACACTGTCGGGACATTTACCTCAGTATCACTCCCGTGAGATTCGAAACCGCTGTCACGTGAGTCATCATCGTCGTCGAAAGTGAGGTTACGAGGCAATTCACCAGCATCTTCGTGAATACCCAGAAGACCCAGTGTCACGTGATCAGGACTATCAAGGCAAAGCATGTTCATCCGGGACACTGGCGAGGAGGTCATGTTAAACTGAAAATAATAATTACATTGTTATGAAATTGAGTCATAATACATATTGATGAATGAAGATACTAAATATATGTCACTGTGCAACAATGCATACTGAACTGTACTACAACAGATATGTGATGTGAATTAGTGATTGTCCTCTGTATCCTATGGGTTGTGTTGATGGATATTAACAGCCATGACCTGACTGTTGGTGAAACATTACAACGTCTTCAATAAAGATGAATCCTTACCTGTAGTTTCTGTCTTCCTGTTTGACAAAAAGTGTGAGTTTTCTTGTAGTGACTGCCCCTGCGTCAGATACATCCGTAGCGAGATAATGATGTCCCCTGCAGCCTCCCATACTGTATATATACCTACACACTATCAATGACCTGATTACATATACAAACTACTTAACAAGTACTGCACACAACCGCTAACACTTCTGGCTAATTACTTTATTAGGAGTTAGGCAGCCACTGAAACTCTGTAACAACAAATCCAGCCTAAAACGGAGCAATTATAGGAAGCTAGCACCTCGTGAGTTACCAGCGCTCCAGCTTGGGGAGGGACGGTGATGACTTGTGTGTCCAGTGTTTCTATACGGGGATGAGAGGAGATTATCACCAAGTGATAATCCAGGCGGGGTATCAAATAAACCGATAATTGATGTTGGAATACAGGTATATTAGATAAGATGTATAAATTAGACGTACGCAGTGGAACAATAAGACAGCTCGTTACATTTTTCGTGTAGGACAAGCGAGGAAGACAGTGGTGGTGGCTCATCGGGCTATAGAAAGGTACACAGGTGACAATGTGTAATAATCTACAAAGATTGGTGCACAGATTATGTAGTTTACAACACTTAAATATTATAAGTGTTGTTTACTAACAAACTAGATCTTATTTGGGTCAACAGGAAAGTTAATTTAATTTGGACGAAGCATGTATTTGAAAATATCCTTTTGTATTTGTTGACACGGGGCATTCAAATAAATAAAATATTTACTGTAATCACCTGAACGCTTATGATCTATTATTAGCGTGGATGGTCAAGAATGGTTCCAATAGGGACAACTAAAAATTAAAGACGAATCGTGACACTTAAATAACATCATGTTGAAAAACTACGCATTACAATGATTTTGAACGTTGCTTTCATTTTCCCGGCGTGTCAGCTCACTGTGTAAGAAACATCCTGAGTGTTGCAGACAGAGACGTTAATCACGTTGGTGCAACACCAAAACATAACGCATTAGACATTTGTTTATGCGTTTTGGCTATTTTCTAACCAAGTAATATCGTATTATAGTGAATGTCGTAAGTTGTACCCCTCTGCAACGATCTTTTAAACGATACACTAAAGACTGTATACTCTAAAATCAAATTGTATTTCATGGCTGATTCAAATCCTAACATAGCTTGTTGCTGGTCCAAACATTTGATTTTTCTGTTTCCGTTACTGTTTACTACGGTACTTGTAAAGTGGTGCTACATACTGACTACAGTCGTGCTGGGTGCTACTTGAGTGAGTGAATGAGTATGGTTTTACGCCGCTTTTAGCAATATTCCAGCAATATCACGGCGGGGGACACCAGAAATGGGCTTCACACATTGTACCCATGTCGGGAACCGAACCCGGGTCTTCGGCGTGGCGAGCGAACGCTTTAACCACTAGGCTACCCGACCGCCCCTGGGTGTTACTTGATGACATACTGGCGTAATACATGGGAATTATTCAGTCTTGATATTTAGCGCTTCTTAGGAGTATATATAAGCTGACTAGATTTATTTTCTAGATTTATTTTTCCATATGTTGCAGTTGACGACTTATTCTTACATTGAATCTTTTTATTGAACATGTTTTCCTTGTTGTTTTAATATTTGTAGTTTCCATGCGTTTTGTAAGCATCATTCTTGACTGAAGGTTCCAAAATGAACAGATGATATATAGAGAAGTTTTAGATTGACACACTGTAGAAAATGAGAGACAATAGTGTGCTTTGTGCGTGATTTAAAGTATCAGACAGGTTTTGTTTTTCGGACTAAAGTGTGCTGATGAATCAAGCCATGTCTCCTTCAGACGCCAATTTGGAACCTGATTGTTAAGGCTTTGTATGAATGGTGTGTGTGTGTGTGTGTGTGTGTGTGTGTGTGTGTGTGTGTGTGTGTGCGTGCGTGCGTGCGTGCGTGCGCGCGTGTGTGCATGTTCGTAAGTGGGTCTACGTGTTTGTGTATGATTGCGTGCGTGCGTGACTGTAAGTAATTTGGCGTGTGCGTGTATCTGCATGTGCATGTGCATGTGAGTATGTGTGTTCAACGAATTTCTTAACTTAACTTAACTTTAAACATTGTGTTGGTTTATGTCTTAATTTATCTTATCCGGATCATGATGTTAAACATATCTCTCTCAGATATATTTTTTCATTTAAGAGGACAAAAAGGAGAGAGTCTTCCATGCTTAGTATTACATAGCTGCATTGCAGGCAATGAGAAACTACAGTGTTGAAATACCTTTGAATGTTGGAAAGCAATAACTTTAAAATCATCAAAATGTATGTAAAATAACGACATTCCCCTATTCGCCGACCTTGAGCACTGAACTTGGTATTCTAGATAATATTTTATTCCTATCCATGGTACTTGAAGGTAGTTGATTTTTTAAAAATTTATAACTGTGCACTGTCACACTAAAAGTTAAAAAAATAGTCAAACTGTGTCATTAATACTTTTTCAAATATTTTGTCTTCAGCGAATCTGTGATCCAAGTAAAATGTCATCTGGAAGCAAGTACAGACACTACCAACACACAGGGAATTTCCTTTGGCCAGGGACATGTCACAGGTAGGTATGTACCAGAACTCGAAAAGAAAGCTTAGTGTGGGTAGACAGTGTTAGACTATCAAGTCTGCGAAATGGGTCATAATCTGAGAAAACTTCGATCAAGAAATCAGGAGAATTAGGAATTTCCCTGGAGAGAATTGATGGCACCATTACTGTCACCCTCTCCACTGTCATAACATCTGGCGGAATAATTCAATGCTAAGTGTATTGGTGCTGGTTTTAAAGATGGTGAATCTGTACGTTTGGCTGGACACCGCGTTTTACAGTATTCCAGCTACGGTAAACTACGTTTATAACGAACACGCTTATACCGAACTTATTTTTTAGTCCCGGACATTTGTTGCATATATGCTGTATATATGCATATAACAAACTACGGTTATTACGAACTAAAATTAGTGGTCCCTTTGGCTTCGTTATAACCGTAGTTTACTGTATATCACCGCGGGTCAGTTTCATGTGGGAGGGAAGTTCGAGGTAAAGCAGGCCACAGACGTTAGCCACTTTGGTGAAACCTACAAGCACGGATATGGTGTTGACAAACATGGAAAAAGGAAAATAGCGGTGAAATATATATGCATGGAAAAATGAACATGAGTCATGACGCCACGCTGACTGTTATGAACGGCTGATTAGATTTGTAATGCATTACATACCATTGTATCACGTCAGGGAAATATTAGTCTTCTGCTTGGCTTTATCTAACAAGTTTAACATTTATCTAGACTGGTTATTTTCTTGCATTAACAATTTATATGCTCAACAACAAAAGTTCCTGTGACACTAATATTTTAGTGTATTTTTCAAACAAGTAAAGTTTGGTTTTCAATATTGTAGTACATGTATGGAATCAAGTCACAAAAACGCAACTGCTACAGAAAAGCATGCATTCCATTCAAAAGTTGACTTTTATGCAAGCCCCATGCATTTCACTACCCAAGAATGGGTATAAAAACATGTGCGTTAACGGGATTCCATATGCATTGTTTAGCAACGTCCTGACAACAACCACTCAGAAAAACAACAAATTTACGTAAATATTCAACATTACGACATGCCACGCCTGTCCGAAAATGAGCGTCTGCGAGCCATTGGTATGCTTGAAGCAGGATCGAGTCAACGTAATGTTGCAAGACAGGTTAACGTCCACAGAAACACCTTTTGGTGTTTATGGCAACGTTGGCAACAGACGAATGCAGTCAGAGATCATCCTCGGAGTGGTAGGCCACGCGTTACCAATAATCGACAAGACAACTGGATTCGAACAACACACCTACGAAATCGATTCAAGCCAGCAACAGTGACTGCAAGAAGCATCCCTGGCCTTCGACGAATATCTGAACAGACCGTACGTCGTCGCCTCAGATGTGCAGGGATTGTCGCCAGAAGACCCGCCAGACGTCCCATTTTGACAGGAAACCACCGTCAAGCACGTCTACAGTGGTGCAGATAGCGTCTACGCTGGACGGCCATGCAGTGGGGACAAGTACTATTCACTGACGAGTCTCGTTTTCACCTCAGCCACAGCGATGGACGGATTCGAGTCTACCGACGTCGAGGTGAACGTTACGTCAATCATTGTGTCATGGAAGAAGATCGGTTCGGGGGCGGCAGCGTTATGGTATGGGGTGGGATTACAGCAAGACAGAGGACCCGTTTGATAGTGGTAGAGGGAAATCTCAATGGACAGCGCTACCGCGACGAGATCATCGGCCCTGTTGTTCTACCGTTTTTGTGTCGCCATTGCCCAGGCATTACCTTTCAACATGACAACGCCCGGCCTCATATTGCTCGACTTGTTCAGGATTCTCTTCAACAAAACAACGTGAATGTCATCCTCTGGCCGGCTCGCTCCCCCGATCTCTCACTAATCGAGCACGTGGGATGAGATGGATCGGCGCCTTCGACGTCAACCACGTGTTCCACAGACACTCCAGGAACTTCGAAACATGCTCCAGCAGATATGGACAGATATCCCACAGGACTTTGTGCGACGCCTAGTCCATTCCATGAGACGAAGATGTGTTGCTTGCATTGCAACCAGAGGCGGACACACACGCTATTGATTTGTAAATTGACATTTTGGCATGTTCATGTTTTTATGGAATCACGCATTTTCTGAAGTGAGTATGGCAAATTAAACCAGTTGAACACTTAAAGGGTCTTTTATCTGTTGCAAACCAAAATTGTTTCAGATTTGGTCAAAAACATAACTTTGCATTAAATGTTATTCAATGTCACAGGAACGTTTTTGTTCAGTATATATATTTCCTATTTCCCGTTACATTTAGTAACGGTTGAAAGTCAGTGAACACTTCCTCTCGTACGTGAATTATCGAGGAAGTGGTTTGGTCGGGAAACGGTCGATCACTTTGTTGTTAATAAGCGTGAATAATATGATAAATGGAATAATACCTGGTCTATCCCATGTTAGATAAATACAAGCAACAAAAACATTTCCATAACAATAAGAACATGCCCAAAGTAGAGTCTATTGTACGATTCCGACTACATGTATATGAAGCATAATTATTTCTTTCAAGAATTTTCGGGGACTATTTATTTTTCTTACGACAAACATGGGTTGCTGAAGACCTATTCTCTACCCAGATTGTCAGATTATTTATTAACTATATCTGGGAAGAAAAGCGGGCTAACGATTTTGAAACGGGCTTTGGATCGGTTGTAAGGATACACTTTCGCAAAATATAGCTCCTAAAGCGGTGGACATCTCATTCCAGCAGTGGGCCGACACAAATGCTTTGATAATGGAGGAGCAGTTGCAGCCAGCGGATGCTTACCTGAAATGTACCTCTGTCACAGTTCTTTTGGCGTCACGCAACACAATGTAAGGTCAAGTGCATTGGCTTACGACATAGAATATATAGTACTCGTGACAGGGTTTTGAATGGGGCACGTACGTGCAGGAACTTCGCGATTTCGCGACTGCCACCACACTCAGAAATGAATTGCGGAATGCTGGTGGCATTTACGTTTCTACTCTGACAGGGCGTAATCGTCGTCCGGATGGCAACCATTCACATCCCACTGTACCGACATCACAGGCTGATGATCACGTCAATTGGACAGACCAGATACTGTTTAGATTTCACAGATCGTCATGCCCGATGAGGGGAGGAAGCTAAATCATAAGTTGTGGTAGGATCAGTAGAACTAGAAGAACTGATCTCCTGTCCTTCAGCGACCTCCATGTCATACAGCAGGGCACAATGACAGGTGTGTGCGCGCTACAGGGATGACATTCAGGATGTGTATGCGAGACTGTCAGTGTGATTGATGCCTACTTGGATCAGGAGCTGGTCACATGTTGTTTGTTGGCATTGTGCGGCACATGACAACAGACTTTTGTTCATTAAACATGTCTTCACGCAATATTGTCTTTGGCTATTTCAACAGATGCACACAATTTTCGTATTATCTTTTAAAGTAGTGATCCTCGGCAAATTCTGAACAGTATAGTTGGCCAAGGTCGACCTCTGGCATGACCGTAGGTCAGTTTGATTACATCCAGATGATTACAAAGCAACAGGATTGATACAGATGGGGATACAGACTTTCTAAAAAAAGGAGACACTAAATTACTGTTCAGCTGCTCTCGCAGGCCAGAGATTTTTCAGACCCTCAGTGAAGCAGTTTGTGACATGATGAGGCATTTTTCTTGTGCTAGTTATGTCAACTTAGATGAAGTTGTGATAATTGAGGAGACAAAAGAAGCATGTCAGAATAACTCTCTATGCTTATTGGGGAGCTTCTGTCTTTTGGGTTTGCCACCAACTGGTCCAAAAGTGAAGGGCCAAGTACAAAGCTACAGTTTCTTGGGAGTTATGATAGAAAGTTAGAAACAATAGTATTTTCTGTTGCATTACCAGTGAAGAAGATTCATGATTGTTATTGAATTACTTAGCACATCATGGAATAAGCTAACGTGAGGCACCGTCTTCATCAGCTGATGAACGTCAACAAATAAAACTTCAATCCTTAACACAAACGATACATTGACAAAGACATTTCTTTTTTATTACATAACCAAATGATATGAATGTAATAATACATGCCAGCTGGTGTGCATGCCGGTGAGATGCGGGTTAGAATTAGGCGACTCGCAGGATCAGGAGGTCAAGCTTGCTGACTTGCTTTATGCATGATTTTTTCAACAGTCGGAAGTCAGGTACAGCCAAGTGATTAAAGCTCTAGTTCATCACGCTGGGGGCCCAGGTTCGAATCCCCACATGAGTATAACATGAGAAGTCTAGTTCTGGTGTTCCCTGCCATGATATTACTGAAAAAAAGCCGCAGAAAACAATACTCACTCATTTATTAGACATTCGGGCAAGTCAGTTTCATTCCCTAATTCAAAAGCATTGGACAAGCGGCACCTGTTCAGCTCTCCATAAGGTTCACTGAACACAGCAACAAGGACAAATAAACTCAACAACATGAATATCATTTCTGGTAAATTTTATTGCCCTTTTGCAATTACTTTCAATCATATTTGCACTTTTTGACAGTTCACTAAAACATAAATGACTTTTGTGTACATAATGGTTAATAAAACTAAAAATGCTTTTGTGATTGTTTTTCCATTGCACAGAGATGATGCTAAAAGGTTTTCTAACAAACGGTGCATGAACTAATCCTTAGGAACTTTCTATTTACAAAAGAATTTCTTTATATCCATCACACAGCACTACTCATACACAATCCCACACGATCAATGAATCATTGATATTCCATGAATGCAGCATGTGTGTTAGCAGAGTGTAGCAATTGAGAGCATTCTACTGAAAAGAATTGCATAAAATGTAAATATATATGAATGGAAATGTTGAAAGTGTTAAACTCAAAGAAGTTCCGAATTTTGAAGAACTGTATCATTCTAACATATCTGAGGAAACTGCATGAGTCCGTTAACAAATATACCAACATAATGTTAAAATTTGCTTAATCACCTCTGGTGAAAAATCAGTAACTAAAACAAAACACTGAAACAAAGTTAGGGGCAGGCATCAAAAGCCTCCAGAAGAAGGCCTTGCTGAACAGATGCCAGTGAAACTGGAACATGCATCGCCTCTAACTGCCTTACTAAAAGAAGTTGAATCTCACAAAATGTATGAAAAATGTTTGGAAAGATATCTTCATGAAATTGTTTGATATGAGGCTTCCAAACAGCAATCTTTATGAAATTTGATGCGAATTCAATGTTTCTTGCGAAATCAATTGATGGAAGTTGTTTTATTCATCCTAATTCTTCTTCTTCTTCTTTTTCTTCTTGGGCGTCTGCTCCTCGACTTCTTCCTCCTCCTCAACCTCCATGCTTTCTTCTGCCGGCTTCTTTTTCTTCTTCTTCTTCTTTGGGGTTTGGTCATCCTCCTGGGTGGTGTCAAGATCCCCAGTCGTGTTGGCGCCAACACTTTCGTCTAGCTTTCTCTTCTCCTTCTTCCTCTTCTTCTTCTCCTTCTTTGCCAGCTTAGCCTGAACAACCACAGCCTGAAAGTGAAGAAAAACAAAAAGCGTACTTAAAGTATCAATAAAAAACAATGTATGTCAAGCCCGAGGCAGTAAATCCTGACACACAACTAGTTAGTTCTACCAAACATCTGTCATCCACCCACCGAAAAGCATCACATCCTGTTCAATTTGCTTGTTGCTCAATGCCACCCTTAATAATATACCAACCATATGACGGCGGTCTGTAAATAATGTAGTCTGGACCAGACAATCCAGAGATTGACATCATGAGCACTGATCCACGCATTTGGGATACCATGACATGAATCAACCAAGTCAGCAAGCCTGACCACCTGACCCTGTTACTCGCCTCTTACGACAAGCATAGTCGCCTCTAAAGGCAGGGATGGGTTGCTGAAGACCTATTCTCTACCCAGATCTTCAAGGGTCGCATCTCATCCTGTCACACACCCAAGCCACCTTCTCCATGGTCTCACCTCCTCCACCGCCTGCTTCATAACATCCACGTTCTTGGCGGGCGTTGTGCCGCTCTCATAGAAGGCTAACCTGTCTTCCACCTGCTGCCGCAGATGCTCCCCAAACACAGTCGTCGGATAATCTGTAAGAAATACAACACATTTTCTTTGTCTTAAACTGCAGCTAGATCACGCCAGGCTCTTCATTAACCAATCTGGGACAAACAGGCCAGTGGATAACACAATGATCAAAGTTCATTGGACCCTTCACCTTGTTGATTCATTTTAGTTGTTTTTTGTTGCTGTTTTGTTGTTTAATACCACACTCAGCAATATTCCAGCTATGTGATGGCAACCTGTAAATAATCAAGTCTGGCTCAGGCCATCTAGTGATTGATATTGTGAGCAACAATCCAGTTGCCAGGCTACGACGCCACGTCATCAACCAAGTCACCCATCCTGATCGACTGATCCATTTGTCTCCTCTTAGGACAAGCATAGCACAAGGAGTCCATTTGAAGCCAGTATCCCAACAGTACACAATCTCTACATCTCACTGAATGAACCTTTGCGCTTGTTTTTAATGATGCTTTGAACATTCAAATTTATGATGCTGTGCAAGTTTGTGGGAGGAAATCACAAAATGCTATATGCTATAAAAGAACAATTACACTCCTGACAAGGATCATAGTAGACGCAAATGTCAGATTAGAACTGCCAGCAAATCCTGGTTCATCTAAGGGACACAACTCCACCCAAGGCCCCCTCTACACATTGTAAGAAATACAAAAAAAGTCTAATGTCTACAAAACTAGGAATATCTTACTACATAAGGCTTAAAAAATATAAGAAGTGGTGAAAATATAGTGTGGGTGGGTGGCATATTTTGGTTTTTTTTTCTTGTTGGCTTGTTCAAACTAGTAAGTAAGCAAATAAACAGTGTACCATCGACCTGGAAAAGGTCCTCCCTACATAAACAAACATACAAACTTCTACTGCCGCCATGACCATAACATGAGAAGGCAGTAAAGCAGTGCACATATAAAGGGAAGTAACTGTGTGATATATTGGATCGCATTGTTTTTTAAGTATAAGGATATTTTTTATAAATTTAAAAATGGAAATAAAAACGAGCATGCTGCAGGCTTTATGATGATGTGGGCTGTGCCTGAGATTTAAGACTTTTTTTTTTTAGCCAAATGGTTTTGCGTGTGTGTGTCTGTGAACAACTGCATGGCTGTACGTTGTGTGTGTTAACATGGCATATTTCTCACCAGAGAAGCAGTCAATCCTGGAAGCAATGGAGCACTTGTTGGCCAGATAGCGAGATATTCTGCCCTTGTTCTTTGAGCCAGCTCGACCAATGAAAGTGGAGTGAAAGATGAGTCCGTACTTGGGAGTGTTTCCTCGGGTCTTCAAAGCTCTGAAACAAAAACTCTCTGAATAAGACTTACAGAAGAATCATTTCTTCAGGTCACTGAAGTCATAAAACTCATCAGGAATTTACAGGGACTTATGAAGAGACTGCACAGACAAATTGGGAAAAACCCTGAGACATCACAGGGAGACAAACGAGGCACTGGGGACCTGTTCTAACCCAAAAATCCCCACAGTGATATGTGAGGCCCTACCTGAAGAGCGCCTTCTCTGCTCCCAGGATCTGCACAGTGGAAGCCGGGTATTTGGCCAGATTTGTCAGACTTCCAGAGTGGGCGATCAGACGGGCACCAACCTGAACAACAGACAACCATGAATGAAGTAAGATCAAATAGTGACATGCATGCATACGTCCGGGTGTGCTCGTCAAGACTCATGTCAGTGTTATAGTGCTAGCCCACTGAGATACTATGCTGCAGGTTAACATTCCGAGCCACCCAGTCCTTGTTTTAGCCCCATAACGCAGAGTGCCAGACAGCTTAACAAGAAAAATCATTCATCTTTAGCTATGCCACAGCTGCGGATCGAAGCACCGATCTTCTGCAGACCCTCTATCCACTAGGCCATGGAAGTGGTCCTCGTGTCCAGGGGCAGTGGGGTTGTCTAGTGGTTAAAGCATTCGCTCGTCATGAGGATTCCCCACATGGGTACAATGTGTGAAGCTCTTTTCTGGTGTCTCCTGCCATGATATTGCTGGAATATTGCTAACAGCGGCTTAAAAGCATACTCACTCATGTTCAGTGAATTATGTATCAAGTGAGGGACAATTGTACATGTAGCTCCTGACACACGTTTGTGCCTGAAGTCAGGACTGAAGGTCAATGTGGGACCATGGACTGTGGACACAGTTCAGTTTCAAGGACACTGACTGGTTGTTATCCAAAATGTTCAAACAAAATTTTATGATATAGAATTATGTCCTATCAAAGGTTAAATCATGAAAATGTCCCATTGAAATATGTCTCTTGTAAAATCACTGCACACCTGTTCACCGATGAGAGTAGCAAGATTGGGCGCCACAGAGCTCATTTTGGTCTTGAGGTACTCCGACAGCTGTTTCCTGTAATCTGTCAATCCAATCACTCGTGTTGCAAACATGCTGATGTTCATCAGATCGATGGGGGAGATATCCATTCCTGTGAACACAAGCACACAAGCACAATAAGCAGAGCATCAAGAGCAACTGTACCAACGCCTAAACTCATCATAGGATTCGATTTGTTTTGAAGTCTGCACACTCAGCAATATTACAGCCGCACATGGGCAGTCTGTAAAGAATCGAGATTAAACCAGACAATCCAATGATTGATATTATGAACAACACTGTCAGAGTATGATGACACACAATCCACCAAGTCACACAGTCTGATCACCCGATCCATTTAGTCGCCGTAAATGACAAACAGTATGCTAGGTGCCAATTCTAACCCAGAATCCCAACAGGGGTACTATGCACAAGATGGTGCTGTCTTCCAATAATGCAGAGACACTAGGTCTCTACCAAGTCATGGATGACCTTGACCCTCCTACTGATGAAATAATGGACGAATTCTCAAACTATAATGAAAGACCTTGGACTTCCTATATAGACAGAGAATCTCACCCGAGTGTCTTTTGATATCAAATATATCAACACGAATTGATAAAAGTGGAAAAATTCCGAGGCTTGCCGAGGATTTTTGCCACTTTTATCAACGAGTGTTGATATATTTGATATCAAAAGACACGAGGGAGAGATTTTATTTATCATCCAACATCATTCTTCCAACTTTTTCAATTTGTAGACAATAATTAGCAGTGACTTCAGTGTAAAAAGTACTGCTAACAGCTTCAGTAGCAGAGCCATTAGTGATGTCATTAGATTGTGACGTCATGGTAACGAGTGACGTCACAATGGTCTGCAAAGCATTGTGATGTAATTTCATTGCAGCGATATCTACAGTGTAGATATCGCTTCATCTAATCCAAGGATATCTCCTGTGGGAGCCAGTTTTGGATGATAATACATGTTTTACCCATCTGGCTGACCTTGCAGAATCAACCATGAAGTTTACCTTCCGATTGATGGAAAATACAGACATCTCAACTCACCCATGGATGACCTTGCCGCATCAAATATGGCCTTGACCTTTCCAGCATCCATCACCATCTCTTCCAGTTCCTCACTCTTCTCTTCTGTCAAATCTTTGCGACTCTGGATGAGCTTTACGACCTTGGCATATGTGTAGTTGTCGGGTACGACCTTCACCAACTCCGGGAAGTGGTACGAGTACCATTCTCTGCAAATAGCAATTAGTACAGTAACTGTTATACTGGTGCATCTACTTTTTAACCCCGACATTAAAATTTTAACCCTATATTAATAACAAATACCAGCTTCCATGGGGATTTGGGATTAAATTAGTCCCCAGCAACCTATGCCAACTAGTTATCAGGTGGACAGGCTCCGTTGAAAGTGGGTCATCATACACTGACAGCATGGGACACTCATAATATCAGTCACTGGTTCGTATGGTGAAGACATGATTATTAATAGGCACCTGTATTATAGCTGGAATACTGCCAAACAAACCAGCGTTTTACGCATCGAACAAATATCCTTCCCTAACTTAAATAGTTTTTGAGAAAATTTGTCCCCTTTGTGAAGCGGACAGACAGACGGAAAGTCAGATGGATGGACGAAATCTGTTCCTATATCCCCCGCCACAAAGTGGGGCGGGGGATATAGGAACGGATTTCATCCATCCATCTGATAAATAATAAACTGTCATTGAGAAAACATGAACTTTTTCACCAGCTGTAAATAATACACATGGAGGATATTTTCTGGGCATACTTACTTGATCCTCATGGAGAAGGTGTTTATATCTTTATCCAGCTGGTCGAGGAGGCTGATGCTTTGGATAATCATGTTATCCACACGGTTTACGTTGAACTTGACCTTGGCCCTGGAATAGCTGTGTCCAAGGCCAAGCTGAGCTTTGGATGCCGACTTGTCAGTCAAACCCTTGACGAGGTTGGGAAAGTGGACACGTATTCCTGTGAAAATAGGAAGATATGGACTGTTGAGAATGATTCAGATATTCAAATGATGTCATCATAAAGTCGGTGGGATGCCATAACTTTTTAATTTGTGTAAAACCAAGATAAAATTTCTGGCAAAACTAAAGTGATTTCAATGATTACCAGTAGGGTGGCAATCACGACTAATTACCAGCTACATTTTCAAGAGATGAGAACCCTCCAATAATGCATGTGCTTCAAGTGACTACAGATCATGTCTTTCTACAGTGAACAAAAGACAACCATGGCAAGGAGCATAATTCAGTGAAGAAGTATTGTTTAATAATTATATAATCTTTCATTTTGTATACAAAAAAAGAAAAGAAAAGAACAGAAGCAAAACAATACATTGTAAATCTCTAAATTCATTGTATTTTTGTTTGTTTGTTTTGATGTTCAACGAGGCAGTCACCAATATTCCAGTGGTCTAAAGATATCAATCAAGTTTGGACCAAACATTAATGGATGTTGTGAGCAGCGATCCATGCCATTCTTTATAATGATACACAATCTACCAAGTCACCAAGCCTGACCAGTGATCCATTGGATCCCCTCTTACGTCCAGCATAGGTAGCTGGGGACCAATTCTAACACATAATCCCCGTTGCATTTGACATTGGAGAACTAGGGGGAAAAATCTGACTCAGAAACATACCTCTGATAATCTCGGGCACCACACCAATATGTTGACAAGAAATGCTAAGTTCCTCTGAAATGGCCGCACCAATCTTGGCATCACCAACACCAACAATTATCTTCTCCTTCTTGCCAGCTTTCGGCACATTCGTCTCCAGGAACAGACGCAGGTCCTCGTGCAACAACCCTGTTAGATGTATACACAGAGGGGCTATAGTGGGGATATTGCACATGTAGGGATTATATAGTGGGGATATTGCACATGTAGGGAGTATATAGTGGGGATATCGTATACGTAGAGAGCATAAAATGGAGTTTAGCGTCAGCTGACCAGTCCTTGATTTATCTCCTATGTTTTAAGCGCACCCGTTTACCAGTAATTGCCAGTTTTCTACTGGTAGAATTAGGCTTGGATCGGTAATTCATGTGACTAACAGTTCCTATGGACCGGCAAATAAAGTACCTTATAGATCTTTGTTGTCTATTTTTAGGGCCACAAAATAACATTTCGAGGTTAAATATATATATGTAACAACTTGGTCTCAAAATATCAAAACAAAAAGGAAAAAATTGTGACTGAACTCTATGAGTGAATGATGTGTAGATCTAACTAAGTTACTTCAGAGTAACTACCAGAAAGAGCTGACCTGCAATGTGCACCCGGTCTGTAAGTGTACATGGTCTCACTACCCTCATGCATGTACCGCTAGGTCTCACTACCCTCATGCATGTACCGCTAGGTCTCACTACCCTCATGCATGTACCGCTAGGTCTCACTACCCTCATGCATGTACCGCTAGGTCTCACTACCCTCGTGCATGTACCGCGAGGTCTCACTACCCTCATGCATGTACCGCTAGGTCTCACTACCCTCGTGCATGTACCGCTAGGTCTCACTACCCTCATGCATGTACCGCTAGGTCTCACTACCCTCATGCATGTACCGCTAGGTCTCACTATCCTCGTGCATGTACCGCTAGGTCTCACTACCCTCGTGCATGTACCGCTAGGTCTCACTACCCTCATGCATGTACCGCTAGGTCTCACTATCCCCATGCATGTACCGCTATGTCTCACTACCCTTGTGCATGTACTGCTAGGTCTCACTACCCTCATGCATGTACCGCTAGGTCTCACTACCCTCATGCATGTACCGCTAGGTCTCACTATCCTCATGCATGTATCGCTAGGTCTCACTATCCTCATGCATGTACCGCTAGGTCTCACTACCCTCGTGCATGTACCACTGGGTCTCACTACCCTCATGCATGTACCGCTAGGTCTCACTACCCTCATGCATGTACTGCTAGGTCTCACTAACCTCATGCATGTACTGCTAGGTCTCACTACCCTCGTGTATGTACTGCTAGGTCTCACTACCCTCGTGCATGTACCGCTAGGTCTCACTACCCTTGTGCATGTACTGCTAGGCCTCACTACTCTCGTGCATGTACCGCTAGTTCTCACTACCCTCGTGTATGTACTGCTAGGTCTCACTACCCTCATGCATGTACCGCTAGGTCTCACCTTCAGAGATACTATTAATGTTGTCAAGAGCATTGGTTCCACTCTTGAATGGGGAGAAGGCCACCAGTTTTACAATGGAGTTGAACTTGCTGAGGTCGGTCACACTTTGCTCCACTTGCGGCTGTAACATCGCCACCTCCTCGAACTCCCGTACACGAAACAGAGCGTACCCTGAGGCATGCTCATACAGCGTGTACAGACTCTGTGCCTGCAATGTAAGTACAGATTACAGGTGAGATTGAGTCCGAGGGAGTGAATGTAGTTTGAGTATTCCTGTTACATCAGAGCAACATGTAAATTATAACTCATTATTATTATTAATTAATTAATTGTAATTATTATAATCCGACCAGCCAGCAACAAATGCTTGACAGCATGAGCACAAATATTGTTATGACACTCAATTTCGGCTCACTGATTCCTGACAATTCAAAATACATGCATGAAATGATTATTGCTAATTATAAAATTTAAGGTGAATATATTTTTTTCAGAGATTATATTCCGTTCTAAAATACATGTTAACAAATATAACAAGTGGGCAAATACATTTACAATCAAAGTAGCAGACATGATAAAAACAAATAAAGGAAGGCTTGAATAAGTTTGAAGAAGACAGTAGTTTTACTTAAACATTAATAAAATAATTTATGAACATGTCACTTGTTATCATGATTCAATTGATTGTGGACAGAGGGTAGCAGTAGTCGGTTGCTTCCATTTTTTGTCATAACAATGGATTCCATTGTTTTCGTTTGCAAAATATTTTTCAATTTCATAAATATCACTCATTAGTGTCATGAATACATAAAAGGACAGTTTTTGTTGTTTAATATTTGATAAATAAATTATGTTTTATGCTGAGAGCAGAATATGGTTAACTACATGGTTGAATGTACAAAATCCATGACAGGATATATAGTGAATTCCAGTTCAGTTGAGAAAAGAGAATTTGTTGATCATACTGATGTCTGAACATGTCTATTGTCTATGGTCATCATACAACCATACGTCAAAGTTTTACAGTCAAAGTTTTATACATCAAATAGTGTATTGTTAGTACCCGGATCTATGAAGTTGGCAGATCATGATGACATGACACTTTTTAAGGATTAGTTGAAGTAACCTATCTCTCATCTTCCCGAGGCAAGGGAGTTAAGTGAATATAAAAGTCCATTTTCCACCCTTGCCAAACTAGGCTGGAATTTCTGGGCTCGATCGTAGTGCCACTGGTGGCAATTACGAGTTACGTCCCTTCTATGCCTCTTCTACTGACCAATCAGATTCCACCTTTCATATCACTTGCATTTGCTTCAAACAAAATGACGACGCCCAGTCAAGACGATCTGATCAATAATCAAGATCTATATTGTGATAAAACGAGTGTTAAATCGTGAAATGCATCAAATCAAGTGAGCACCTTGATTAAAAACATGAAATCATTTGGAAAATATCTGTCAATGCCGAGTTGGCGGTGCACATGCTTTACAAATCCCGCAATCAACCGAAATCTACAGTTTACGAACCAGATGCCAATTTCTTTGCACAATTTTTATTGGACTATGCAAAGACTCAGTCCAGCCTACGTATAACTCCATAATACTAGCCTAGTTTGGCAAGGATGAAAACTACAGTCAGTTAACTCCCTTGCCTTGGGAAGATGCCTATCTGTCTGCTCTCTATAAATGATTTGTCGCTACACAGAAAACGTTTATAGGGTGCAGCACAGTGAAATTGTTACCACAGCTATTAATAAATAACAATGTCTTTAGTGCTTGTAATGACATTTCACAGATATTTCTTGCCCCTTGATCAGGTTAAAGCTAAGCAAGCATATTGAGTTAACATTTATATACATGTTGACATGTCTACACAATTTGTAATTTCAATCTCATTCAATATTGGCTATTACTCAGAGAAACTACCTATTAGTATCATGATTAAAAAAGTGCAGACAAAGTTGATCACAAATGTGGCATTTTTCAGTGTCAAGTATTTACATAAGGAAGACCTTTAAATACCATTCAAGGACTTAAGTATTTACACCGTAAAAACATACTAAAAGTTACTGAAACAATATTTTAGTGAAACAGACGTGATGGCCAATAATACTGAAAGAGGATTGAGGTCAGCCACAGTCACTCACTTCAGTAAAATCTCCCAAGTTTCAATGGATGTTTAATTCACCTAAACAGGTCCACTATAATATCTGTTCATCACTTTTTTAGTCAAGGATCAAAAGGCTCGGAAAGATTTGGGCAACACAAGTTACACAACAAACCTAAACTGTCCTAAGGATCAAAGATGTACGCACAAGTATGTATTTTCTGCTACTGAATATTTTTTCTTCAGGTGCATAGCTTGTTTTTGTGATTCTATTGTGTCAAACAGATCCTAAACATAATCCAAAGACGTACATACCTATATACGTCTTTGTATATTCACAATTATAAATGCATTAATAATTATATTACGCTTCGCGTTATTTTGACGAACAGAGGCTTCGCGCTGGAGCATGTGCGTATGCCACAGTATGTTGATGCATTTGAAGAGTGGATTTGGAGCAATGTTGGTGATCGGTATCCGGGCCCTGGAATCAATTGCGCTGACAGGACACAGCATGCGCTCGGATAAAAGTTTACAGATTCCTCTCATAAAACCTTTCCAGGCAAGCCTTCGCCGGGAAAGAGCGGGAACATATCAGCGAGTATGTTCTCTGCAGACAATATTCATCATGTCATGGTCACAACATCGCGATTTCACCCAAAAGGGTTCTAGTTTCGGGAATGTCAAGATGGTTACTGTTGTATTTCATGTAAAAGTACACGTCCATGTCTTGTGAGGCAGATGTTAAAGAAAAATGTTAATATTTGTCTACCTACCATGACGGAAATAGCTCAAAACCTTATTTGTTAGAGAAAATACAAAACCACGTGTACCCACCATCTTGAATCTTTTATTTCTACAATGTTGTTAAGTGGACTGCTATTGGATAATCGAAGAACCAACGGCCAATAAGAACGCGCGTTGTAAACCTACACAGACTATCCGTAGTTCCGGCGGAAGGAAATGGGTCAAGCAGACGTTTTTCCCATGGCCTGACTGTTTTTGAGTCAGTTGTTTATGAGTCAGGTACAAGTTTGTTTTTTCTCAAATCCTACCCGTATCACATGACAACTCTTGCCCGTTCAGGCAGAGAGAGAGTCATTGTAACATGATCATAGCATCAGGCAACATAACGAACCCATGCAACGCTAAACCCATGGCTTGCTGAATTGTTTCATAGGCATTGCCCAGAAGTTGACGGATGACAAAGTGGAGATAATTTATGAATAATAACTTCTTTATTTACTGTAAAGGCGACCTTTCGGTATAGATCCTTATACCGCTGTCATGCAAGGAATGTTTCTTTGTCATGGGTTGCTGTACAGCGAGTGGTGCCACTTGAGGTAGGACTGGGGCGTTGCCGCCCCCAGGGACCCCCGAACCACAACTGCGCCCCACTTAACAAGATGACACGGTCCTCAATATCCTACGTCCCCATGAATGTTAATAACCATAAAATGAACCTCATAGATGCTACTTTTAGTTACATGAAAGAAAAGACTAGACACACACACACACACACACACACACACACCGTAACAAATGACCGGCCAATGATTACAATAGTTTGGCAAATACTTTGAAAGCATGCTTGTGTGACAACGTGCAGTAATAGGCTTTATCTACGGAAGGAAAGTTTTGCTAGTCGTATTTGTACACCAGCGTACATATGCTTTCTATAACTTGTCCTTGAACATAACAGAGTGAGATCCATTTAGCGATTTTATAGAAAGAAAGAAGTTAAACGTGTTTAAAATTGCTTCCTCTTGTGCGTGCTAAAATGTACACAGTCAAAGCTTGCATAATGCTAAATGCTGGAGGATGAAAGGGAACGGGTTAAAGGCAACCATGTCAGTATTTCAATACTTTAGTACTAAAATACATTGAATGTGTTCATGCATAGTGTTACCCGAGTAGTTGTTTTTATTTTCAGATCCATATGAAAAAAGAACGTGTTCGTGCGTAGTGTTACCCATGCAATTGTTTTTATTTTCAGATCCAAATGGAAAAAAAGTCTGATGGCAGCGGTGGGATTCGAACCCACGCCTCCGAAGAGACTGGTGCCTTAAACCAGCGCCTTAGACCGCTCGGCCACGCTACCAGTTGGGCGATGATGTGACGTGGTAAGATTAAGAGGTTCATCTCAATGAATATTGCATGGCCTTTGGGAAAAAGAGATATTTCATTGCGTTGTTTCACTCTTTGTTGACATGAAACGGTAAAACTATAATAGAACCATAACCCCTGGTTGACATCCCACACATGGCTTTTCTCAAAGCGTACTACGTGGTGATAGACTGGTTCCCAGTTTACGTGAAGTCTATAAAGCGCAAATGTAGGTGCGCGTACTATCACTAAAACCAGTATAAAATGAGAGCAATGAACACTCATGGCCCCGTTCCACAAAGCGATCGTAGCGCTAAGGTGATCGTAACTCCCATACTTTAACATTAGCTTACGACAGTCGTAGCGCTACGTTCATGACATGTGGCTAATATATATATTGCAACTTTTGCCTTTTTAATTCACTTCAGTAAAAAAACAAATATCAATTTATAAGTCTCCAATGTTTGTTTACCCGTGGTAGGGTGATTTATCATGAAGTGTATTTTAATGTCAGCTCCTATTTTAAAGTCTTAGTCCTTGCTCAACCACCCAATCTAACCTGCCTCACTATTACAATAACTCAGTCACCCTTGCGCTTGCCTCAATTGTTTCTCCGGTCTCTATTGTCTTGCCCCAGCCCCAGCCCCTTACTTTCAGTGACAGGGTGCTTCGTGGGACTGATCATGTTGAAATTACACTTGTATTTGACTCTGCATTGAAGCAAGTTCTTAGTTCATCGCTGAAACGATTTCGTCAATTATCACAGGTTAAATCAAAATTGGAAATAAGATAAACATTCATCTTTGTAAACGTAATGAAAGCACGACTTTAACGTTACAGGTATTTTCCACTGCATGTTTATGTGTTAGTTCTGAAATCAAATCCACAATATTGTCCTTGACATTATTTAAGAAATAAACGACGAGTTTGTTTTTTTTATCGTACAATAAAACACTGCAGAGAGTATAAACCATGAGGGGCAAGTGGTTTATTTTCCCTGCAGTGTTTTATTGTACGATAAACAACGACCACGAGTCGTTTATTTCTTATATGATGTAACAACATTATGTTCACTTTAAGGATGTTGATGAAATGTACAAGCATTAAAAATATTTCCCTGAAAAGAATCGGAATGTCGGACGAAAAATGTCTTATGTTTTATTACCTACGAGGATAAACATATCGGGGTTCATAAAAATCACATTTGCCCAAGGGTCAGATCATGTTCCAATATGAGAAAAATGCTCCACGTAAACATAAAACGCTTCAGAACATACTAGCCTTTCTTCTTGATTTTTGAGATTTGTGTCAAAGCATGTAAGAGTTCTATCATTTTTTTATTATTGACATGTTGTTAGTAGCGCTCATCTAATGGGCCAAAGGGAGGCCTTATCAGACCTCGTCCTTTTTTCAAAAGGCAAATTAAATAAAACAAAAACGATTTACAAATTTGAATGAAATATAATCTCGCCCGGGATATATTAGCATGACAACGAGTCTCTATAGTCATGGGTGGTAGCTGGAATGATCGGCACGTGAAAATCTGGCAAGTGACATGTACAGGCGTTGTGGCCGATAAATGATCTTCTATCTCCCCATCAATTTGCTTGACTGTTTGTCCGGTACAACCGGTACCTGGGGACAATAAAATGATACAACAAATATAATGCACGCTAAAATATTGTTACTTTCAAACAAAAAGATACGATGGCAGCGGTGGGATTCGAACCCACGCCTCCGGAGAGACTGGTGCCTAAAACCAGCGCCTTAGACCGCTCGGCCACGCTACCTCATGACCTGCTAATGAATCTAACCATCGAAAATGCCGATTACCTCCCCCGCACATCTCTATAACAGCTCGACTTCAGTGCATGCAGTCAAAACATACTGGGGAAATCAGACATATATGATTACGAGATAAACATACTGTGTTTTCTATGTCGAGCTTGTAGAGGTTCCAAATTCAATTTTCATCTACAGGTAACCTAGCTCTACATTGAAAACACGGTATGTTTATGTCCATTCTACCACGGACGTATATACGTCTTTGATTCTACCATGACTTAACAAAACGCGAACTCTTTGATGTTATATATAATGACTTTTAATGAGTGAAGGGGCATGGGTTGAGTCCAGTGTTTTGAGTCTGTTGTCGATCTGAATGACGGAATCACCACCGACAACAGCCTTTATGTTACAACAGGAATATTGCTAAAAGCGGCGTAAAACCATACTCATTCCATCATTGTGACGCGAAAGGTATGACGTCACAGTCGTATTTTGAAAAGAGCCAAATCCCAAGCTCACTGATGCTGCCAAAACTTAAGATACATTCTCTCTGTAGATTTCTATCCTGTTTTCTGCACGAAATGTATTGCCACACATCCTTTGAACGTGTCGAAACTGCAACTTTGCAAAACCTCAGCAAATTCACATAAATCTTGGACAGGTTGGTGCACGCATACTGTGAAGTTTCGTCATAAATAACCTGTCTCTGGGTGCAATTATATAATAGGGAAAATATAATGTACAGTGAAAGATAGTTCCTGACTTTCATAATAAAAAATCAGATGGCAGCGGTGGGATTCGAACCCACGCCTCCGGAGAGACTGGTGCCTAAAACCAGCGCCTTAGACCGCTCGGCCACGCTACCCCTCGACCAACTGCGGCTTCAATGAATCTGACACTCGCACATACCGATGATAACCTCCCCCGCATAATTCGGCACAAGCTCTAACGCAGTACATGCAACATACTGGGAAAATTAGGTAATGGGGCCATATCACTGCAAGGAGCTTCATTGTAATGCTTCATTTGCAAACTCCTTCCCAGCGCATGACGCCTTCTTTACCATGTTTACACTCTCAGTAACATAGTATAGAGAGCTCTGCGAACGGGCGATAGCTGTGAGGAGCTTGGCTTCATTGATTTGTCCGAGATCTCCAAGGGTTCCTCGAATAATGCTGATTGTTAGTGCCGCCATATTTGTGGGAAAAATCCGCCATGTTTGAGGTCAAATAGAAACAATAACCTACCACTGAAATCGTGATTTGTTTTTTGAGATGCCATGACACCAGGACAGTAATGGTGAACTGCTGTTCTGTAAGAGGATGTTCAAACAGGTCAAATCGGGACGGGAAGTCGTATCATTCCATCCCTGCAGTTATCATAAACCAGGGTGATCGAACGCGAGAATTATCTGAGCAACGACGAGCCCAGTGGATAGCTAAACTCGGGAGGGAGAACTACTCCCCAACAAAGTACACCAAAATATGTTCGGATCATTTCGTATCAGGTTAGGAGACATATATGTCAATATGTTTAGATAGTCTCGTAGGCATTCAGAGGCAGAAAAGTGCCCCCAGTAATAATGGCAGTAGTCTATCCCACGTTGGCACCAGTAAAAGCCCGCGTTGTCGGGGCACGGGGCATAGCTTGCATATTGATGATTGTAGCGTAAAATATCAGATGTCATGGGAGAGGGACAAGAAATGCTTGGTCCGATGATATATCAGTTTTTGTCATGGTGCACTCTGTTGGTCTCTCTTACAGATCTTTAGACATTTTATGAAACAACCATTCTTATACCATTCTTAGCTGTATTATACCATTCTTAGCTGTAGAAATCAGTTCTCCGCCCATTTTCAGCTCCAGTAAAGTAAGATACCTGAGGGCTCCTTTTGTGGAATTATTTTATTCAGCCTCACGCGTCACTTTATTTCGGACCGGGGGGCACGGGGAGCCCAGTCGTCTAAGGCGCCGTCATTCGCTGTGCAGAGTTGCGTCCCTTGGGCACGCCAGAAACCTATGATTGTGGGTTCGAATCCCGGTTCGCCCCGATTATGTTTCTAGGTTTGTCAGCACCATACCCGTGCTCGTGGGTTTCACCGAAGTGGTAAACGTCTGAGACCTGCATCACTTCGGGCTTTCCTCCCACATTAAGCTGACACGCCGTGATATAACTGGAATACTGTTAAAAGCGGCGTTAAACCCAACTCACTCACTATTTCGGACCGCCTACGTGGTCTTGTGGCAGTACTGGAAAGCGGAAGGTCGGGGGTTCTATCCCCGGTCGCGTCATACCAAAAAAGACGTTAAAATATGGTACTTGTTACCCTGCCTGGCTATTGGCATTAAGGGGCTGATACAAGGACTGGTCGGCTCGGAGTCGATATACTGTGTCTGAGTGGGTTATTCGTGTTAAACTGCGGGATTGTATCTCAGTGGGCTAGCACTATAAAATCGGCATTAGTCTTGACTAGTACACACACACACACTAGAAGACACACACACACACACACACACACACACACACACACACACACACGTCCATGCACGTCGCTACGTAAGTGCAATAATCTTGAACTCGACGTTAGACCTAATTTGAATTTCACCTCACTTCACTTTCTTTCGGGGACTATGTGTTCTAGGTCAGTTCACGATTTGCCCAGTGGTGTGTGGCGCCGCAAGTCCCAACTTCTTAGCAAACCCTTGCAGAGAAAACATCCGATTAATGATAACATATAAACAGGCACACCAGCTGCATGTCAAAAACAAGTCATTTCATTTGCTTTGATACGTTTAACATGGACCTGATTACTTTGGGCGAGTGGACGAGGATTTATTCGCCTACTGTATGGACTCGACACGGTAATAATACATACATTCAGAACTCCAGATATATCGGTGTAGACTGGCCCCAAGGAGGTAAACTATATTCAATACCCAAGGAACAATATCAGTGTGAATGATAACGTGAGTAAATATTCGATGCCTATTTTCTTTTTTTATCTGGAGCCCAGTATATTTGCACACCTTTTTATCTATCTCTGTATGTTCATTAGGTGAATGCCGATGACCTATACGAATGTTGTGCTCTCTTTATATTTTCTTTCAGAATCGAGTAATTACACCATCTTGATAACTTCAGGTAAACCCACTACACTGTACGACATCTCCAGTCCAGACTGGATTCCGTCTCTCCACATGGGCACAGGGTTGTCCTTGAAGGATGCGCAATCTCTCAGTAGATACCGCAAGGGACAGAGAGCTCAGAGGAAGAAAGTCCTGGCAGCCGCCGAGATGTTGGTGGAGATGTCGCGGCGTGGTCGGGACGGAGATGGGCGGGGCTCACAGGAAGGTGTGGGCGGGGCTCGGACAGCACAAAGTAATTCTTTCAAATACGAACATACAACTGCGAAACCCGACTCATCAGAGGACATTTTCTTTAACCAGTCATACGACAGTAATGAACCCATGAAAGGCAGCATTTAGCGATGGTCACTCACAGAAGTATAACGATCATGATGATAGGATCATATCTATTGGCAATGCAATGATGTAATTCAGTTTGATGAAACCTGTTTTCACATGGAACAGTTGAAAAAGATGAATGGCTATATGGTGTGTACACTGTCAGTGTTAGAATGAAAAGTCATTGTTGAGCCCATCAGACGTGTTGAATGTCTCTACATACCGTAATCAGATGGCCATCCTGACATGTCGAATTACCCAACAGCCTTTCGTGAGAATCCGTCGTCCAGTGTTGAATCACAATCTCTTCGGAGTGATCAAAGTGTGAAATTTAGACTGTCGTTCTTATCTCTTGTTCCAGAGTTACGTTCCCGGTGCTATTGAATGCCACTGCACCAACTGATCGTGTGAAATGTGTACGACATAGGACTTGGTATTCGTTCTTAAACCTGTAACGTGAATAAGGGGCACGGGTGGCCCAGTAGTGGAAGGCGCCGTTGTGCTATGTTCGTATACTTAGCTGTAGGGATACTCTGGTCCACGGATCGAAGACCAGATTCTCCATGACTATGAACCGTGGTTTGTCTGCACCATACCTTTGCTTGCGAGTTTCAGTGGTACATGCGGTCATATAACTGAAATAACGTTGAAGCGGTGTTGACTAACTGTGAACTGAATGGCCATGTTTCCACGTGGTACAGAACTTCACTTGGAATACTAGTATTTATATACTGCTTGTAAAGCGGTACGAGTCCTATACCTTGACGTTGACATTGAGTGACTATTCTCATACGTGTGGGTTGTGGATATTATTATGTATGCCTCACGAAGAATGTTTATTAAACTGTTTTACTGAGTGTATCATGAATGCGATGTGTTCTGTTTTGTCTTAAAATTGACGGCTGATGAATATAAAGGGATCATCGCATGACTGTGTTGAAATGATTTACACGTGCTAGTGTTTCTCTCAAACATGAAATAAGGTCCTTGTCATACACAGTTATTATTTGGTTGTAGCGAGTTAGCCGACCCAGGCGTGTAATGCTGCAGTTCACTTTGCAGTTGTGTCCTTTTGTAGTGCTTAATACCCAGTGATCTTGGGATCGAATCCCTGATTTGTTCTGATTATGGCTTGCAAGCACCATACATGATTTCCTGGATTTCACCAAAGTGGTAATTAATGGGATCGGGTATACTTATGATCCACACGAGGCACATGCGCAAACAAATTGTACGTGCCCTATACAATACTGTTGACGTGAATTCATTGTTATATTGTTGGCGTCAAGCGTACATACGTCACGGACTATATGTTCAGTCTAGTATCGTCCTACGGTCACTGTACGTGAATTAGTCCCATCACATCTCGGCGTCATGATAGGACACTTTCATATATAGTGCTTGCGTCAGGTGAACTTTCTAATCAGCGTTGAAGTTCTGAATTCTCGGTACTCAGTGAGCGATGCATTGAAATCAGCATATCGTATTTCTGTATCTCGAAAATGAACTAAAACTACAAATTCCGGAAGTAGACAGATTGCGGCACCCATTCGTGACCTGTCGTTTCTGAGCACCATGACTGCGTGCGCACACACAACCAGTAGGGAGTAGCGTCGAAGGAATATGTGGGTAATGTGCAGGTTTTCATTTGTTCCATCTAAATTTCCAAAACAAGGTGGTAATATTTTTTTTGCCGAATCGTTTTAGAACGCTGACAGCTGATTGGCTAAAGAGTTGTGAGTGAATATGTGTGTATGGTTTTACGCCGCTTTTAGCAATATTCCAGCAATATCACGGCAGGGGACACCAGAAATGGGCTTCTCACATTGTACCCATGTCGGGAATCGAACCCGGGTCTTCGGCGTGACGAGCGAACGCTTTAACCACTAGGCTACCCGACCGCCCCGATTGGCTAAAGAACACACACTAATAAATGCTCATTCCCTTAGACCAATAAGGGCTGAAAAATCGAATATAATAACGTTCCGATAATGTGCATTTTAGTGATCCTCACAGTTGATTGGTCATTGGAAGAAACATAACACCGTCTATTGTTCCAGACGTTAGTGGTGTTAAATCATCAGAACAACAACGGTTTCGGTTCGAATCCCTGATTCGCCTTCGTGTCATACCCATGTTTATCGACTTCACCAAAGTTGTAAACCTCTGAGCAGACGTGCATCACTTTGGGCGCGCATCAAGCTGACGCGCCTTGCAACTGAAGTGCTGGTCTAAGAACTTGAAACCTAATCCTCCAGTGTTCGAAATGAGCGCCTGACCATAGGCCCGTGCCAGGTAGATCTCGTGTCGGGCCCGTAGTTTCAAATTTGTTGGTTGGTTTGTTGTTTAACGCCGCACTCAGCAATATTCCAGCTATATGACGGCGGTCTGTAAATAATCGAGTCTAGGCCAGACAATCCAGTGATTGACATCATGAGCATCGATCCACGCAATTGGGATCGATGACATGCATCAACCAAGTCAGCGAGCTTGACCACCCGATCCCATTAGTCGCCTTTTACGACAAGCATAGTCGCCTTTTACGGCAAGCATGGGTTGCTGAAGACCTATTCTACCCCGGAATCTTCACGGGTCAAATTTGTATGGGTCCTTATGGCCTGCAGTAAATTTACGAGTCTATTAATAGACTTGTCACAAGAAGCTGCAGTTTCTTAAATGAGTGCCAGAAGAGTTTTGTCAGGGCCGACAGCTTCTAAACACTGATTCGACCGTCCTTTCATGCCAAACATGCTAAAGGTTGGTACATACTTTCTGGCAAAGGATAATATAAACAATACTTAGCTCGGAATTATTGAATACAGGTCCGTGACTTTCATGCTACATTCATTACCATGGACATAATCAAACGTTGATTAATCGACTTGGTAGACTCAACCGGATTTACATTATCGTGGACATGCAGTTTCGAAAAGGTCTACTTCGCAATTCTTTTGTTGTGTATATTCCAAACAAAAGACTTGTCATTTTATAAATAAACAACGTTGCAAAGAGGTACCTACATGCGTCAACAAGCAAATGTTGATGCGAGGCCTAAGTCAGTGTTATATGTTGAAAAAACATATTTTTTGTTCCAAATGGAAATTTTTTAAAAGCCGGGTGAAAACTCTTGCAAATCACGCGAGACGTTTCAGTAGAAGACAGACAGACAGACAGAAGTGTTTACTTATCTCTCACTCATAGATACATTCAAAATACAAATACATGTTATGTAGATGTATGACCACAATATCTACGACCAGCCGCACAGCGATTTATCAGATACAATAAAACCAAAATAATAAAATACATAAAATGTTATTTTATGAGGAGACTAAAATAGCTAACTATACACAATATACATAACATAAAACAATCTAATGTATATACACGTATACATTCACATACATTACCCATATCAAATCTTTCAGCGCATAACAGGTTTTGGCAACGCAAAAGATAAGATCTGGGTTTACTATAATACGAGAGTAAATTTGTCTGTACAAAACATTGTGTTAAAATAAGGTAGAGTAAAGTTACATGTAGTAAGACGGTTGGTCTTCTGGACGTTATATATAGGGCATATATATAAAACATACTCTTCGTCCCTGATAAAGTCTGTACAGTTAAGACAATATATTTTTCTCCAGGTACATTCTCTTCGCGACCAGTCTCTACTCTTAAAGGCGCCACTCCACATCTAAATTAAGCCAGTGCATGCATGTGAGGGGATGTTTCACATAAGGTTCAACGACATAATTATCAAGTAAGGATATGATTTATGGGTGAACAACTTCTTTATTATAATTAAGAGCGACGTTTCGGTGTAGTTTCCAACACCGTTATCAAGCAAGTGTTAGAACCTACACCGAGCGTCGCTCTTATTGTAATAAAGAAGTTGTTCATCCATAAATACTATCCTTAATTAGTACTCCAACTTATCAAAAATGCCTATCAAACAAGACATACTTATCTTTAAACAACGTGTATGTCCTCATTTTATTTCTTCCTTGTTTAACTAAGTTGAGACATGAGTGTCACGTGACTATGCAAGCCGGTCCTGTCGATCTGAGTGCCGCTCAACAAATTGTCCAATACACTTGATGTGTTTTTATTAATACATAAAAACACAAAAGTACGAATAGAGCACGACACTTGACAATCACTCGTTTAGAGATGGTACCGCCTTGTTCCATCCGTCTTTTCAGTGATGGAGGAGAAGTTGCAAACACTTGAAGTGACTTCTCGGCGATGCGACGTGAAAAACACATTTTACTCACTCACCCCAGCTAATACCTGGAATGGGCCAAATACATTCCCGGAAGAGGCCGAGAGTTTTCCGAGTGGTAAATCTTGTCAAGCTCCTTCCCAGCGCGTGACACTATCGTTACCATTTCGATGTTGAGGAGCTTGAAAACTCTTGTCAAGCTCCTATACAGCGCGTGACACCATTTCACTCTCGTATAGAGAGCTCCGCGAACGGGCTATCACTGTGAGGAGCTTGAAATCTTGTACACAAAGGGACGTAACCTACTTCCTCATCTCGTGCTCGAAATATTGAGAAGCAGTAGAACTACTCTGAACTTGTAGTTGTAAAAGACAACGGACAATGTGACACAATCATCGACAAAGATGATTTGGAAGGTATTCGTCTACATTCAATGCTCTCGTTACAGTTAGTAGAAATTGTCACATTATTTAATTCTGCACTTGCACGGCTGCATTTGGCAGTGAAGGTGGCAGATGCCTGGATGCCCGTTTAACAGCATTGATCTTGTCAATATCAAGCCTGGTGACGAATGCGTCAATCTGCGTCTGAAAGTCACGTGTTTGGAAGTCGTTAGCGATGTTATGGTCAAATTCACGTGAGATGACACTTTATGACTATATAAACGTATTGACGTTATTCGCCTATGGACTGGTGTGCAACGTAACCAATTATTGTGACCATATCCACATGTCATAAATTAGTGTTTTTCAAAGTATCATTATCATTTAAGTAATGATAAGATATATGGATGAACAACTTCTTTATTACAATTAGGAGTGACGTTTGGGTGGAGGTTTTAACACTGTTATCAAGCAAGTGATGGTAACTTGCTTGATAACGGTGTTAGAACCCACTGTTGTGTTTCTATGTATCACTTTTTAGTTTATATTGAAAGTGTATGTTCTAGGGGACAATTATCTGAATTTTCACGAATAAAAAGCTATATGTAAAGGAAATATCTATATGACAGAAACCTGCCATATGACGTCTGTATCAAGCATATGGTACAAGAGAGCCTCTAATAGTTATTGACAGTAATTATAGAGATATGCCATGATGTTAAATACCAATGATTACAATATGTATATTTCCTATTAAAAAACATGCAGATTTTCATCTTGTTGGCAAAGTTGACATAAGTGTAAAGTCAAAACTAAAATGATGGAATTAGCAACTGATTCGTGTGATCGAAAAAGCAAAACGTTTCGTGACCAGCTTCCTGTTTATAATGGTTTTTTTCACTTGTGGACGTCAGCAAAGTTGTAAAAAAATGTGCTGGAAAATTCCAGTGTATGGTTCCATTTTGGACAAAAAAACGAAAACATGATCAGAAAATCAAATTACAGATGAAAGAATGCAATATAGTGTGGTACGTATCGCAATACATAAATCATTATTGCAAAATAAATTGCATTATGAAAGTCAGGCCTATAGGAATCACTAAATTAGAGATGATGTTGTCATACTTTATTCTCTCGTTTCAGTTGTAGCTGACGAATCTCTTCAGGAAGCAGCAAATGTTTGTGCTACGGTCTGTCCTCCTGATGGGCCGTATCACGTGGCGTGTGCACCACTGTCCATCTCGCGTGTGGGCGTGGGTCAAGAGGCACAGGAAATGGTGGTCACTTGTGTACAAAAGTCTGTTTTACAATGACCATAACTCTTGTAACACTGCCACAGACGCAATGATGGAACCAATGTTTTGGTGTGTGGATCATTTTGCAAAGTATATGGGTCCGGTAAGACTTTTTCTCTGTGTCTATCCATCTTGCATGAAACCATTTTCCAGGCTATATGTTCCTCAATCTCATTAAAATCAGACCTTAGTTCTCGCTATCGCTAAACAAAGATCTGAAGACATCCCATTAGGGGTCACGTCAGAACGACCTTTCATCTGACCAATCAGAGCGTCGCTTACCAAATTATGAAAGTGACAGTCGGATTGTGATTTCTAAACATGCAATTTTGAAAACTTTAACACGGGGTATTCCGAAAGATAGTTACGGGTTTAACGACTGAATACATACAATATAGACCATCTATTAGCCACTCCAGAATGTTCTTTTGTTTAGGTTTCAGATTTGTAATCGAGAATTTGTCAAAATATGTTTCGAAAGCGTAGTTGCCAATTTGAAATTAGTGCCGTAAAGCACGAGGAAGCTACCTTCTGATTGGTCATTCCATTGGTCGGTCAAAGTTCGCGCCAGGTCGATCTGACCCGTAATGGGATGTCCTCAGATCTTTGTTTAGCGGTAGCGAGATCTAAGATCTGATTTTAATGAGATTGTATGTTCCTATTATTGTTTTTCAGGGAGGTGGGGTAGCCTAGTGGTTAAAGTGTTGGCTTGTCACGCTGAAGACCTCGGTTCGGTTCCCGACATGGGTACAAGGTGTGAAGCCCATTTGCCGGTGTCCCCCGCCATGATATTGCTGGAATATTGCTAAAAGTGGCGTAAAACCATACTCACTCACTATTATTGTTTTTCAAATTTGCAAGCAGATTTATACATTTATCATCGATAACTGGCTCCCACAGGAAATATGCTTGGGCGAGATCAAGCGATATCTACATTGTAGATATCGCTGCAATGTAATTGCATCACAATGCTTTTTAGACCATTGTGACTTCATTGGTTACCATGACGTCACAATCAAATAACATCACTAATGGTTCTACTTCTGAAGCTGTTAGCAGTACTTTTTACACTTAGACACTGCTTATTACTGTCTACAAATTGAAAAACTTGGAAGAATGATTGTTTGATGATAAATAGAATCTCACCCTTGTGTCTTTTGATATCAATTATATCAACACTCGTTGATAAATTTGATATCAAAAGAAACTCGGATGAGATTTTCTATGTAGTAACAAATTGAACTAATGAATCAAAACAGGGGAAGACATCTCTTTTTATGAGTAAAAACACATTTCAGTATAATATTTGTCTTAATATTTCAGATTATGGTAACAATGGTTGTGTTCCTGACGACGATGGTAGTGGCCATCTTCTATGTGTGTCTGCTTCCACATATTTACTACGAGTCTATGGCAGCTACTGTGTTTCACCTGGTGTTTGGGCACTGGCTGCTTCTCATGATCATCTTCAACTACATCATGGCCTGCTTCACCAGCCCCGGACACCCCCCAGATGTAAGTACACCAACCCCGGACACCCCCCAGATGTAAGTATACCAGCCCCAGACACCCTCCAGATGGAAGTACACCAGACACCCTCCAGATGTCAGTATACCAGCTCCAGACACCCTCCAAATGTAAGTACACCAGCCCCGGACACCCCCCAGATGTAAGTACACCAGCCCCAGACACCCTCCAGATGGAAGTACACCAGACACCCTCCAGATGTCAGTATACCAGCTCCAGACACCCCCCAGATGTAAGTACACCAGCCCCGGACACCCCCCAGATGTAAGTACACCAGCCCCAGACACCCTCCAGATGGAAGTACACCAGACACCCCCCAGATGTAAGTACACCAGACACCCTCCAGATGTAAGTACACCAGACACCCCCCAGATGTAAGTACACCAGCCCCAGACACCCTCCAGATGTCAGTATACCAGCCCCAGACACCCTCCAGATGGAAGTACACCAGACACCCCCCAGATGTAAGTACACCAGCCCCAGACACCCTCCAGATGTCAGTATACCAGCCCCAGACACCCTCCAGATGGAAGTACACCAGACACCCCCCAGATGTAAGTACACCAGCCCCAGACACCCTCCAGATGGAAGTACACCAGACACCCTCCAGATGTCAGTATACCAGCTCCAGACACCCCCCAGATGTAAGTACACCAGCCCCGGACACCCCCCAGATGTAAGTATACCAGCCCCAGACACCCTCCAGATGTAAGTACACCAGCTCCAGACACCTTCCAGATGTAAGTATACCAGACACCCACCAGATGTAAGTATACCAGACACCCACCAGATGTAAGTATACCAGACACCCACCAGATGTAAGTACACCAGACACCCACCAGATGTAAGTATACCAGCCCCAGACACCCTCCAGATGTAAGTACACCAGACACCCACCAGATGTAAGTATACCAGCCCCAGACACCTTCCAGATGTAAGTACACCAGACACCCACCAGATGTAAGTATACCAGCCCCAGACACCCTCCAGATGTAAGTACACCAGCTCTAGACACCCTCCAGATGTAAGTATACCAGACACCCTCCAGATGTAAGTATACCAGACACCCTCCAGATGTAAGTATACCAGCCCCAGACACCCTCCAGATGTAAGTATACCAGCCCAAGACACCCTCCAGATGTAAGTACACCAGCTCTAGACACCTTCCAGATGTAAGTATACCAGACACCCTCCAGATGTAAGTACACCAGCTCCAGACGCCCTCCAGATGTAAGTATACCAGCTCCAGACACCCTCCAGATGTAAGTACACCAGACACCCTCCAGATGTAAGTATACCAGACACCCTCCAGATGTAAGTATACCAGCCCAAGACACCCTCCAGATGTAAGTACACCAGCTCTAGACACCCTCCAGATGTAAGTATACCAGACACCCTCCAGATGTAAGTATACCAGACACCCTCCAGATGTAAGTATACCAGCCCCAGACACCCTCCAGATGTAAGTATACCAGCCCAAGACACCCTCCAGATGTAAGTACACCAGCTCTAGACACCTTCCAGATGTAAGTATACCAGACACCCTCCAGATGTAAGTACACCAGCTCCAGACGCCCTCCAGATGTAAGTATACCAGCTCCAGACACCCTCCAGATGTAAGTATACCAGCTCCAGACACCCTCAAGATGTAAGTACACCAGACACCCTCAAGATGTAAGTACACCAGACACCCTCAAGATGTAAGTACACCAGCCCCAGACACCCTCCAGATGTAAGTATACCAGCTCCAGACACCCTCCAGATGTAAGATCACCAGACACCCTCCAGATGTAAGTACACCAGACACCCTCCAGATGTAAGTACACCAGACACCCTCCAGATGTAAGTATACCAGACACCCACCAGATGTAAGTACACCAGCTCCAGACACCCTCCAGATGTAAGTATACCAGCTCCAGACACCCTCCAGATGTAAGTATACCAGCTCCAGACACCCTCCAGATGTAAGATCACCAGACACCCTCCAGATGTAAGTACACCAGACACCCTCCAGATGTAAGTACACCATGCCACTGTTGCATGCAAGGACACTTCACCAGATGCCTTCCAGATGTAAGTACACCAGACACCCTCAAGATGTAAGTACACCAGACACCCCCCAGATGTAAGTACACCAGACACCCTCCAGATGTAAGTACACCAGACACCCCCCAGATGTAAGTACACCAGACACCCTCCAGATGTAAGTACACCAGACACCCTCCAGATGTAAGTACACCAGACACCCCCCAGATGTAAGTACACCAGACACCCTCCAGATGTAAGTACACCATGCCACTGTTACATGCAAGGACACTTCATCAGATGCCTTCCAGATGTAATAACTTTGTTATATTGATCCAATTATAAAAAGGGTTATGTAAAGCTATAGTTTCAAATTCCGCAGATTGTAAGTATCCCTAGAATGTTGCTTACTACCTGACTCTGTGTGTGCAGAACCTGCCAGAAGTTGTCTCCATCTGCAAGAAATGCATCTCCCCCAAGCCTCCTCGCACACACCATTGCAGCGTGTGCCGCCAGTGCGTAATGAAGATGGATCATCACTGTCGTATCCTTTCACCGAGTCAATCTCCACACAGGCCGGAATCCATCTTCCCGAGGCAAGGGAGTTAACTGACTGTCCTGTTTCCACTCTTGCCAAACTAGGCTGGCATTATAGTTATATTCTGGCTGGACTAACAAGTCTATGCATAGTCCGATCAAAATCGCTTGACGAAATCGATGGTCGTTCTGACATGACCCGTAATGGGATGTCCTCAGATCTTTGTTTAGCGGTAGCAAGAACTAAGATGTGATTTTAATGAGATTGTACATCTTCCAGTGGCAATGGCGTTAACTGACTATAAAAGTCCAGTTTTCGCCCTTGGCAAACAAGACTGGAATTCCGGAGTTACTTTCAAAATTGTGTAAGGAACTAGATATCTGGTTGTAAACAATATGGATTTCAACATGGAGATTTTGGTTGACTGAAGCATTTGCAGAGCATGTGTACTGCCCAATGGGCATCGACTGATATTTTGCAAATCTTTTCATGTTTTCATATTTTTCAAGGTACTCAAGTGAATTGATGCACTTCGTGAGATAAGGCCCTTGTTGTTACAATATAGATTTTGATTATCGATCAGATCGTCATGACTGGACGCCTCAATTTTGTTTGGGGCAATTGCAAGCGATATGAGAGGTGGAATCTGATTGGTCAATAGGAGGGACATAGAAGGGACAAAACTCGTAATAGTAACTGGTGGCACTACAATCGAGCCTGGAAATGCCAGCCAGGTTTGACAAGGGTGGAAACTGGACTTTCATAGTCAGTTTACTCCCTTGCCTCAGGAAGATGAGGTCAATATTCTGGGGGGTCCACATTAGGGTACATTGTTTCATCACATGATTAACCAATGGAATTGCAAGATTCTTAATAGAGGTATAACAATTGCTGTCCTTATTTTCGCATATTGACCACATGTGCACACCTGACCTTCTCACATGATGTATAGTTCTCCCTAGGGACGAATCTTATGCGAAATGTATGCTATTCTATACTTGCAAGGGACCATTATTTACTAACATGAACCTCTCAGTGTTATCCTAGCACACATTTATACAGACCTATACTGCTCACACCGTGAAGATTCCGGGGTAGAATAGGTCTTCAGCAACCCATGCTTGCCGTAAAAGGTGACTATGCTTGTCGTAAAAGGCGACTAACGGGATCGGGTGGTCAGGCTCGCTGACTTGGTTGATGCATGTCATCGATCCCAATTGCGTGGATCGATGCTCATGATATCAATCACTGGATTGTCTGGTCCAGACTCGATTATTTACAGACCGCCGTCATATAGCTGGAATATTGCTGAGTGCGGCTTTAAACAACCAACCAACCAACCAACCAACCAACCAACTATACTGCTGACTCTTGACAAGGGAATGGCTATGTCTCCCTGTTCCCATACATGTTCTCCTCCAGCTCGTTTTCCTCAACCCCCCAGCCTGGCTGAACAACTGCGTCGGCTTCTACAACCACCGCTACTTCTTCATGTTCTGTGTGTACATGTGGTCTGGCACCATCTACGTCAGCAGCGTCGGCTACAACCTCTTCAAACAGCACTTCTACGGCAGCAAGGTAAGCACACTCCCAGGCAGTGAACTGAATGTTGCTAACACAGCAATACTTCAGCTGTTCCATATTCATTTTAGTCTGTACGGCCATCTTGCTGCTGAACTTCAAAATTTTTAAAACCCTCGGGGGATTCTTGGTTTGAATAGGTGCCCAGGTAACTATTCTGGTTGTAAGAGGCAACCATGACTGAATTTTAGTCCCAGAAATAAAGTTATGTTATTTAAATACAGTAAACTACATTTATGACGAACTGACGAATACAAACTATCTCTTGGTCCTGTCCATCTGCTGTATAAATGTCGTGCATATAGTTAATACGAACTACGGTTATAACAAATTGAAATTAGTAGTCCCTTTGAATTCGTTATAACCGTAGTTTACTGTATATATATATACTGAACAGCATTGAAAACGCACCAGCAATAAATCTTGAAATATTACAAACACAACTGGTCGATCTCTGGTGGTTCTTGTCTGCTGGTATCTGCTCAGTAGCCTGAGGACTGTTGAATGATGGCATTGAAACCGTTGTGCAACGACTCTACTTGACGTACCAACTTGAAGCATGCCCAAGGCACGTTCACGTGTAAAAGTAAAGTAAAGTAAAATCCAAATGGAGCCCAGAATAATGCTTAATTTCAGGCCTGAGGCAGTCTAGACTTGCCAGATAATGCTAGACTTGACTCTGATTCATTTTGTTGTTTAGTCTCTGGGGTTCAGGAGACAGACTAAGGCGACCAAACGGATCAGTGGTCAGACTCAGTGACTTGGTTGATAGCGTGTCATCATACCCTGTCATTTTTGACAATATTAGTCACTGGAATGTCTGGTCCAGACACGATTAGTTACAGGCCACTGTCATATAGATGGAATATTGTGATATTATACAACAAACAGATTTAATCTTCTAACCATTCCTAACTTTCTGACTGACTACATTGTAAACATCTTCAAGTGCCCAACTCGGCATTGTCATGATGCGTTTAGTTTGTGCACTCAGTTGGTGTTGATTACAGAATGGCGGGGACCCATTCTACGTAGCTCTACAACTGTTGTAAGTCTATGTTAAAGTGTGGGAGTTACAATCACCTTAGTGCTACGATATCTTTGTGGAATGAGGCCCTGGTATACAAGCAACATGTAAGTCTATGTTAAAGTGTGGGAGTTACAATCACCTTAGTGCTACGATATCTTTGTGGAATGAGGCCCTGGTATACAAGCAACATGTAAGTCTATGTTAAAGTGTGGGAGTTACAATCACCTTAGTGCTACGATAGCTTTGTGGAATGAGGCCCTGGTATACAAGCAACATGTAAGTCTATGTTAAAGTGTGGGAGTTACAATCACCTTAGTGCTACGATAGCTTTGTGGAATGAGACCCTGGTATACAAGCAACATGTAAGTCTATGTTAAAGTGTGGGAGTTACAATCACCTTAGTGCTACGATAGCTTTGTGGAATGAGACCCTGGTATACAAGCAACATGTAAGTCTATGTTAAAGTGTGGGAGTTACAATCACCTTAGTGCTACGATAGCTTTGTGGAATGAGACCCTGGTATACAAGCAACATGTAAGTCTATGTTAAAGTGTGGGAGTTACAATCACCTTAGTGCTACGATATCTTTGTGGAATGAGGCCCTGGTATACAAGCAACATGTAAGTCTATGTTAAAGTGTGGGAGTTACAATCACCTTAGTGCTACGATATCTTTGTGGAATGAGGCCCTGGTATACAAGCAACATGTAAGTCTATGTTAAAGTGTGGGAGTTTCAATCACCTTAGTGCTACGATAGCTTTGTGGAATGAGGCCCTGGTATACAAGCAACATGTAAGTCTATGTTAAAGTGTGGGAGTTACAATCACCTTAGTGCTACGATAGCTTTGTGGAATGAGGCCCTGGTATACAAGCAACATGTAAGTCTATGTTAAAGTGTGGGAGTTACAATCACCTTAGTGCTACGATAGCTTTGTGGAATGAGGCCCTGGTATACAAGCAACATGTAAGTCTATGTTAAAGTGTGGGAGTTACAATCACCTTAGTGCTACGATAGCTTTGTGGAATGAGGCCCTGGTATACAAGCAACATGTAAGTCTATGTTAAAGTGTGGGAGTTACAATCACCTTAGTGCTACGATAGCTTTGTGGAATGAGGCCCTGGTATACAAGCAACATGTAAGTCTATGTTAAAGTGTGGGAGTTACAATCACCTTAGTGCTACGATAGCTTTGTGGAATGAGGCCCTGGTATACAAGCAACATGTAAGTCTATGTTAAAGTGTGGGAGTTACAATCACCTTAGTGCTACGATAGCTTTGTGGAATGAGGCCCTGGTATACAAGCAACATGTAAGTCTATGTTAAAGTGTGGGAGTTACAATCACCTTAGTGCTACGATAGCTTTGTGGAATGAGGCCCTGGTATACAAGCAACATGTAAGTCTATGTTAAAGTGTGGGAGTTACAATCACCTTAGTGCTACGATAGCTTTGTGGAATGAGGCCCTGGTATACAAGCAACATGTAAGTCTATGTTAAAGTGTGGGAGTTACAATCACCTTAGTGCTACGATAGCTTTGTGGAATGAGGCCCTGGTATACAAGCAACATGTAAGTCTATGTTAAAGTGTGGGAGTTACAATCACCTTAGTGCTACGATAGCTTTGTGGAATGAGGCCCTGGTATACAAGCAACATGTAAGTCTATGTTAAAGTGTGGGAGTTACAATCACCTTAGTGCTACGATAGCTTTGTGGAATGAGGCCCTGGTATACAAGCAACATGTAAGTCTATGTTAAAGTGTGGGAGTTACAATCACCTTAGTGCTACGATAGCTTTGTGGAATGAGGCCCTGGTATACAAGCAACATGTAAGTCTATGTTAAAGTGTGGGAGTTACAATCACCTTAGTGCTACGATAGCTTTGTGGAATGAGGCCCTGGTATACAAGCAACATGTAAGTCTATGTTAAAGTGTGGGAGTTACAATCACCTTAGTGCTACGATATTTTTGTGGAATGAGGCCCTGGTATACAAGCAACATGTAAGTCTATGTTAAAGTGTGGGAGTTACGATCACTTTAGTGCTACGATAGCTTTGTGGAATGAGGCCCTGGTATACAAGCAATATGTAAGTCTACGTTAAAGTGTGGGAGTTACGATCACCTTAGTGCTATGATAGCTTTGTGGAATGAGGCCCTGGTATACAAGCAACATGTAAGTCTATGTTAAAGTGTGGGAGTTACGATCACCTTAGTGCTATGATAGCTTTGTGGAATGAGACCCTGGTATACAAGCAACATGTAAGTCTATGTTAAAGTGTGGGAGTTCCGATCACCTTAGTGCTACAATATCTTTGTGGAATTTGGCCCTGGTATACAAGCAACATGTAAGTCTATGTTAAAGTGTGGGAGTTACGATCACCTTAGTGCTACGATAGCTTTGTGGAATGAGGCCCTGGTATACAAGCAACATGTAAGTCTATGTTAAAGTGTGGGAGTTACAATCACCTTAGTGCTACGATAGCTTTGTGGAATGAGGCCCTGGTATACAAGCAACATGTAAGTCTATGTTAAAGTGTGGGAGTTACAATCACCTTAGTGCTACGATAGCTTTGTGGAATGAGGCCCTGGTATACAAGCAACATGTAAAGCTTGTATTTTTTTTCTGAGTTGGTACTTGTGTTGTAGGGGCGATGGGGTAGTCTAGTTGTAAAAGTGTTAGCTCGTCGTGCCAAAGACCCCACATGGGTACACTGTGTGAAGCCCATTTCTGGTGTACTCCGCCTTGGTATGGCTGGAATATTGCTTGAAGCAGTGTAAAACCATGCTCACTTGTGGTGTGACACAGGAGCACATGGCTACCTGTCAGAACCTCCTCCAGAATGTATTTTAACCATGTAAATAAGGTGTAATATAAATAAGATCTTAACCCAGCAAGCCAGTGACAGACAGAGGTTGTAACAATCCAGATAGACTCAGGGTATAACATGCAATCAACAAAGTCAGACTCACATAGTCTGCTCCTTAATCCCGACATTATTTGGCCCGGGCGACAAGCATGAGATATGGGGGAACCAGTTCTGAGCCGGAATGCCCTTTTGCCAAGAGTTGCCATGGCGATAGTTTGCAGTACTTGTCTCTGTGACAGAATGTGTCTGTTTCAGGACATTGTGTTTCCTGGGATACTTTATCCGGTGAATCTCGCCTGGGAAGCGTGGACCTCGAGAAAGGTAACATCCAAAAGTGATAATATTCGCTGCATGTTTCTATTTCTATTTATCAACTTTGTTAAAGGTTAACCATTAATTTTCTGTTGCAAAGTCTATCAGAGTGTCCAAAACAAACCAACCTCAGGTTTTATGTAGAATGCAGAGAAAAATCATCCCAACCAAAGTTTTTCTGTCACATGTTTTCAGGGTCTGAGGGAAAAACATTTATTCATAGGCTCAGGAGATAAACATACTGTGTAGATCTTGTTACTTATAGATTTAACCATGCTGAATTGTATTTAGAACCAAACACTCACACATACTTTAAATACTGCAATTCGGAAGGTCGCTGGCTGTGGTGTATTGGATAGAGCATCTGCCTGGAGTGTGGGAGGTCGCTGGCTTGATCTGCTAGCCCTGCGAACGCCTCTGTGGTGTATTGGATAGAGCATCTGCTGTGAGAGTGGGAGGTTGTTCGCTTGATCTCCTGGCCGTGCGACTGCCTCTGTGGTGTAGTGGATAGAGCATCTGCCTGGAGAGTGAGAGGTCGTTGGCTTGATGTCTGGCCGTGCGACCACCTCTGTGGTGTATTGGATAGAGCATCTGCCTGGAGAGTGGGAGGTCGTTGGCTTGATGTCTGGCCGTGCGACCACCTCTGTGGTGTATTGGATAGAGCATCTGCCTGGAGAGTGGGAGGTCGTTGGCTTGATGTCTGGCCGTGCGACCGCCTCTGTGGTGTATTGACTAGAGCATCTGCCTGGAGATTGGGAGGTCGTTGGCTTGATGTCTGGCCGTGCGACCACCTCTGTGGTGTATTGGATAGAGCATTTGCCTGGAGAGTGGAAGGCCGTTGGCTTGATCTCCTGGCCGTGCGACCGCCTCTGTGGTTTATTGGATAGAGCATCTGCTGAGAGAGTGGGAGGTTGTTCGCTGGATCTCCTGGCCGTGCGACCGCCTCTGTGGTGTATTGGATAGAGCATCTGCCTGGAGAGTGGAAGGTCGTTGGCTTGATCTCCTGGCCATGCGACCACCTCCATGGTTTAGTGGATAGAGCATCTCCTCGTAGTGTGGAAGACCGTTGGCTTGATCTACAGGCCTACGACCGCCTCTGTGGTGTAGTGGATAGAGCATCTGCCTGGAGAGTGGGAGGTCGCTGGCTTGATCTGCTAGCCCTGCGAACGCCTCTGTGGTGTATTGGATAGAGCATCTGCTGTGAGAGTGGGAGGTTGTTCTCTTGATCTCCTGGCCGTGCGACCGCCTCCGTGGTGTAGTGGATAGAGCATCTGCCTGGAGAGTGGAAGGTCGTTGGCTTGATCTACAGGCCTACGACCGCCTCTGTGGTGTAGTGGATAGAGCATCTGCCTGGAGAGTGGGAGGTCGCTGGCTTGATCTGCTAGCCCTGCGAACGCCTCTGTGGTGTATTGGATAGAGCATCTGCTGTGAGAGTGGGAGGTTGTTCGCTGGATCTCCTGGCCGTGCGACGGCCTCTATGGTGTAGTGGATAGAGCATCTGCCTGGAGAGTGGAAGGTCGTTGGCTTGATCTGCTAGCCATGCGACCGCCTCCGTGGTGTAGTGGATAGAGCATCTGCCTGGAGAGTGGAAGGTCGTAGGCATGATCTGGCCTTTGCAACCATCTCTGTGGTATAGTGGATGGAGCATTTGCTTGGAGAGTGGAACGTTGCTGGCTTGATCTACTGGCCGTACCTTACCAAAAAGGCGTTAAAAGATGGTACTTGGTGTTACCCTGTCTGACGCTTGACATTAACGGGATAAAACAAGGACTGGTCGGTTTGCAGTCGGTATAATGTGTCTTAGTGGGGTATCCATGTTACACTGCAGCACGTTTCTCAGAGGGTTGGCACAATGACACTGGCAGAAGTAACTAGAAAGTATTTCAGTCTCAGAGACATATTTTTCAGATTGTGTATTAATATCGCTAAATGTTTTGTGAAAGCAGGTGACACCCGAGGTGCCTGTGACCGGGGCAGACATGTTGACAAGCAGCATGGACGAGTTTCAGCCAGACCTGAAGGGGCAGTGGATCCACAACGCCATCATCTTCGAGTTCCTGCTGTGTACAGGGGTTTGCATTGCTCTCGGGCTCCTCACCGTCTGGCACGCCCGCATGATCAGCACCGCGGAGACCAGCGTCGAGGTCCACATCAACAAGAAGGAGAGGAAGAGGCTGAGGAAGAAGGGCATGGTAGGGTCTCCTTCATCTGTCGTCTCATGTACAGAGATTTATCTAGGACTCCTAACTAAGTGCCTTTGGCAAACAAATTTGGAAACAATTGTTATTGTGTTCAAAATCAGGATTTTTATAAGTTATTTTTTTCTTGGTTGGTTGGTTGGTTTGTTTTATGCCCGCACAGCAATATTCTATGAGGTTCCCTGTTATGTCAAGAGTGGACTAAAGAGCAGGACTTGGAGGCGTTTGACCAACACACCCTTGCTCTGTTGGTAGTGTGCCTTTCAACAAAATTTCTCTTTCCATTCATTACTTACTTTTTCGGAAAATGATATTCAAATACTCTTCCCTTGCAGATTTTCAAAAATCCTTATGACTTTGGATTTGTGGAGAACTGGAAAATCTTCCTGGGAATAGAAAAGGACAGGTAAGATGTTTCTGTAAAAGGATCAATAGTACTCTATTGAAGGAATACAACACTGGTGCTTGTTTGTCTGTATTGCTGACTTGGCATCCTTTGCAAGTATGTGATTACCACGGTTAGCTCACAGAATACCTATCTTAACTTTCAGGTGTTGAAAATTATTGCAAATACAGTGTACTTCATGTCCTGATATGTCATGTCAAAGTCAAGGTCATCTTCATGGCCTTAGCCTGAAAAAAAAGGTTTGTTTAGTGTCTAATTCAAGGATTTACTGTAGGTCAATGAAATGTGGTCTTCCTGAAGGCAGGGCAGAGATCAGGAAAGGTCACGAGTGACATATATATTAAGGTCAAGGTCACAGTGAAGGTCATTCGCAAAATATGTTTGCCATTTTCCCTCAAATGTGTCATACATGTATTAAGTCTTATACATGTTTGTATATTATTTCAGAATGTATATATGATACGTGATGACAGGTCACAGTGACCTACTTTCAATGAATAGCATCTGCTATTTTTATTGTTGTTGCACTGAATTCGGCCTCGGAACATCATATTTGAGGGATAACCAGTTAATAGTCTTGAAATGATTCCACATGATATTGAAGCTCAAATTCACTCTCAAGGTCATACACTCAGAATTATTTCCAATAACTAAAAAGCTGAAATTGAAGGTCAAGGTGATTAAACCAAAAGGGCATTGAGGTAGCTAGAAGCATGAGGTTCTGAAATGGGGGAATGAAGTTATTCTGTACTTTCTTATTTCGCTTTGTTGGAGGCAATGGATATCTGTTTCAAAGTCACACTGGAAGTGATATCATTCAGCCAGAAGTGTGCATCACTTTCTCATCAAGGTAGCTGGAAGTATCAGATTTTCTCTTTAAAACGGTCTTGCATGAGACATGTTTTCCCAAACTAGAAGGGTAGCCATTTGAATGGAAGGGCATGCAGCAGTCTTATGAAGCTAGCTACAAGCATGTGAGATTCTGTTTGTCTTGCATTAAGCTTTTACTTGGCCAAACCAGAAGTATGTCATTACAGTGGAAATGTCTTTACAATCCTCAGTATGATAGGGAGGGGACATGTACTTGAATCTGTCCTGAGGTTGCAGCAGGCATCATTTCACAAAGGTATACAATGAAATGTGGGTATGTGAGATGTTCCGGACTTCTAGAAATGGCAGTGGCATAGCTGCTTCTGTTTTGCCAAGTACTTGCCGACACTTTTTAATATAATTTGTGTTTACTCTGGTATTTTGTCCCCCGCCATGAAGTGGAAGGGGGATATAGGAATGGGTGCTGTCTATTCGTCCTTCAGTCCATCATGGTTAATTTCTGTAGCAGAACTCAAAAACCATAATCGATATCTTAACCAAACTTGGCACATAGGTAGGTCTAATGGTGAACTGGTGCTTTTTGATAGTTTGGGATTTTTAAAGATTTATTTGCACACAATCTGACATGTCATATTGGCAGGGGATATGAGTATTTCATGCATGTTACCTTAAAAATTATTTAAAAAGTTACAGCAATCATTCAAGTTTCTTCATCTAAGGGAATAAAAAAAAGAATTTATTTGCTGGTCTGTTGGTTCATCATTAGACCTGTGGTATATAACCATGGTAACTGTTGTACACCATCTTATCAGTTCCAGGTCCTTCTGGCGGCACATCCTCCTCCCATCATGCCACACACCAACAGGAAACGGTCTCACGTGGAGAACTGCCACCTATCAGTTGAACCAGGAAGAAAATGGCCTCCGGTTGTTATGACGATGGCACACACTCAGAATTCTTTTACAAACTGATGTGGTTGATACCCAGATTTATTTTAAAGGATTTTAAGGCTGTTGTGTGATAAATGTGGTGAATGTTTTCTCCCTGCGACAGTGCAGGATATTCACAGGATGTTCACAGGAGATTAACTGCGGGACAGGACGTATAGGACATTTAACTTCAATGGGACATCCACAAGACTTGACAAGGACATTTACATGAGTTATCAAGGACATTCACAACATTTTTCAAGGACAATCACAAGACAACATCCATATGATACCCACATGACTTTCTACAGACGTACTGAGGACAGTCACAAGACAGCAATAGGACATTCATCTCACTTTCACAACGTCAGGACATGTTATCTGGAGGACTTTAGAGAACATCAACAGGACATTCACAGGATTCCATGTGCTTTTTTTACTCCGTCTTCCTCTCAGGGATTTAACTCCCAGTCTGACATACTGCATCTCCACTTTCCACGCAGCACGTCATGACTGGGAGTTGGTGTGACTGCTACGCCAGGTTTCTACATGATTGAGAGTTTCTGTGTCATGGACATTCCACCCACAATCTCATTAAACTCCGATCTGCTACTCCGATATTACAGCCCTCTGTGTGGAGGTCTGAGGACATGGCCATAGGAGGGTGCATGAGAGGAACCCTGAGCAAACTTTGACCACAACGTCCATGGTAAATGAAGGATGTGTGGTTTCTTGATCTTAGCAACACACAAAGAAAACGCAGAACACAAAGATATGTCCATATATAGCTCACTCTTTTGGGTGTAGATGACACAACATTCTGTGTACAAGATCCACAACATAATTGTATAGTTCCCTGAATATTTTCATTTTCAAAATATAGTGGGGCGGTGGGGAAGCCTAGTAGTTAAAGCATTTGTCACATCGAAGATACTGGATTCCCTACATGGGTATGTGACTCCCGTAGTAATATTTGCAGGAATATTGATAAAAGCGGTGTAAAACCATCCTCAATCACTCAAGATACGTCCCGTGAAAATTGGCCTTCAGCAAATAATGTTTGTCATAAGAGGCGACTAACAGGATCAGGTGGTCAGGCTTGCCGACTTGGTTGATGCATTTAATCATATCCCAATTGCGTAGATCGATGCTCATGATGTCAATCACTGGATTGTCTGGTCCAGACTCGATTATTTACAGACCGCCATCATATAAATGGAATATTGCTGAGAGTGGTGTTAAAGAACAAACAAACACTCAGAAGAAATCAGATATGCTTGTCTGAATGCTTCACTCACTCATTCCAAGAATAAAAAAGCCCCCCATGGTGATGTGCTGTTGAAAACTTCACCTGACCCAACCTATGAAAGTGTCCTCAGATCTCCACACAGGGAAGCATCGTATCAGAGTAAAAATCTGATTTTAATGAGATTGTTCCACCCCTTCATGCTCTCAACTAGAAAAGGGACAACGTGTGGCCCAGTCGTCTAAGGCGCCGCGTTTCGCTGTGCAGAGTTGCGTCCCTTTGGCACGCCAGAAACCTATGATTGTGGGTTTGAATCTCGGTTCGCCCCAATTATGTTTCTAGGTTTGTCAGCACCATACCCATGCTCGTGGGTTTCACCGAGGGGGTAGGTAAGTGTCTTAGACCTGCATCACTTCGGGCTTTCCTCCAACATTAAGCTGACACGCCGTGATATAACTGGAATAATGTTAAAAGCGCCGTTAAACCCAACTCACTCACTCACTCAACTAGAATAACCTTACAAAATTAATATAGATGTTCAAAGACAGCTTCTGATGTCATTACTGACCATGCAGGTATATTTTGTTCTGTATTTAGCTTGGCATGCACACACAGGGTACAGGAATGAGGTCTCCACAGGTCAGGGAAACTTGCTAAAGTTCAGGGAAACTTTTTACAAGCCCAGGAACCTTGCTAATGGTCAGGGAACCTTGCTACTGGTCAGGGAACCTTGCTACGTGTCAGGGAAACTAGCTACTGGTCAGGGAACCTTGCTACATGTCAGGGAACCTTGCTGATGGTCAGGGAACCTTGCTAACGGTCAGGGAACCTTGCTGATGGTCAGGGAACCTTGCTAACAGTCAGGGAACCTTGCTAACGGTCAGGGAACCTTGCTGATGGTCAGGGAACCTTGCTGATGGTCAGGGAACCTTGCTAACAGTCAGGGAACCTTGCTAACGGTCAGGGAACCTTGCTGATGGTCAGGGAACCTTGCTGATGGTCAGGGAACCTTGCTGATGGTCAGGGAACCTTGCTGATGGTCAGGGAACCTTGCTAACAGTCAGGGAACCTTGCTAACGGTCAGGGAACCTTGCTGATGGTCAGGGAACCTTGCTGATGGTCAGGGAACCTTGCTAACGGTCAGGGAACCTTGCTGATGGTCAGGGAACCTTGCTGATGGTCAGGGAACCTTGCTGGCGGTCAGGGAACCTTGCTGACGGTCAGGGAACCTTGCTGATGGTCAGGGAACCTTGCTGATGGTCAGGGAACCTTGCTGATGGTCAGGGAACCTTGCTGATGGTCAGGGAACCTTGCTGATGGTCAGGGAACCTTGCTAACAGTCAGGGAACCTTGCTAACGGTCAGGGAACCTTGCTGATGGTCAGGGAACCTTGCTGATGGTCAGGGAACCTTGCTAACGGTCAGGGAACCTTGCTGATGGTCAGGGAACCTTGCTGATGGTCAGGGAACCTTGCTAACAGTCAGGGAACCTTGCTAACGGTCAGGGAACCTTGCTGATGGTCAGGGAACCTTGCTGATGGTCAGGGAACCTTGCTAACAGTCAGGGAACCTTGCTAACGGTCAGGGAACCTTGCTGATGGTCAGGGAACCTTGCTAACGGTCAGGGAACCTTGCTAACGGTCAGGGAACCTTGCTGATGGTCAGGGAACCTTGCTGATGGTCAGGGAACCTTGCTGATGGTCAGGGAACCTTGCTGATGGTCAGGGAACCTTGCTAACGGTCAGGGAACCTTGCTGATGGTCAGGGAACCTTGCTGATGGTCAGGGAACCTTGCTGATGGTCAGGGAACCTTGCTAACAGTCAGGGAACCTTGCTGATGGTCAGGGAACCTTGCTAACAGTCAGGGAACCTTGCTAACGGTCAGGGAACCTTGCTAACGCTCAGGGAACCTTGCTGATGGTCAGGGAACCTTGCTAACAGTCAGGGAACCTTGCTGATGGTCAGGGAACCTTGCTGATGGTCAGGGAACCTTGCTGATGGTCAGGGAACCTTGCTAACAGTCAGGGAACCTTGCTACTGGTCAGGGAACCTTGCTAACAGTCAGGGAACCTTGCTGATGGTCAGGGAACCTTGCTAACAGTCAGGAAACCTTGCTTAAGGTGAGGGAAACTTGCTACTGGTTGGGGAAACTTGCTAACGGTCGGGGAACCTTGCTAATGGTCAGGGAACCTTGCTACGTGTCAGGGAACCTCTGCTACGTGTCAGGGAACCTAGCTACTGGTCAGGGAACCTTGCTACGTGTCAGGGAACCTTGCTAACAGTCAGGGAACCTTGCTAACGGTCAGGGAACCTTGCAGATGGTCAGGGAACCTTGCGAATGGATGGGGAATCTTGCTAATGGTCGGGGAACCTGAAAATTGTTTACAAAGTTGACAGCTCAAGAACCCATGCAGCCATTATTTTGCTCAGGGTCAACCTGATGTGACATTCTATGGGGTGTGTCCTCGGATCTTCATGCAGATGTATTGTATCGGAGTGAAAGATCAGATTTATTATAAGGTTGGGATAATTTGGGTCATTTCAGAATAAAATAATAATCAGTTTAGCTTTATTGACCGTATCATTAACAATTCTGCAAACATGTCAAGGAAAAAGTGAAAAAGGGTCAGGTTTAAAGACATAGCTCTTGTGAGGGGGTGGCACAAAGATCAAATGAACAATCAAATCAACAAGTTGAGCTTGATGTCAGTAAACAATAGACCTGTGACTGTTTTTCCACTAAGTGTCACAGAACTTGTGTTCATTGTTGTAAATGTACATTTGTATATGTTATTGTTATGATTTTAATAAAATAACAAGTACAATGTTCGTAAATGACTTGTGTGATTATGGTATGTAGACATGTACAGTAAACTACAGTCATAAAAAAATTAAAGGGACCACTAACTTGTTCATTATAACCATATATACAGCAATGGGAACGCACCAAAAAATGTTCGCTATATCCGTCAGTTCATCATAAGCATGTTTGTTATAAACATAGTCTACTGTCCAGTGAAGTGTAGACTAACATCTAGTCTGTGAAATGAACTATTTTACAGAAGAAAAAGGTTAAATTATCTTAAGATTTTATCAAAAGGAGTCCAGAGACTCTGGATCTTCTGACAATAATAAACTTGCATTGGCTGTATTAGATATATGTATTTCAGGGTATGTATGACAGACTAAGTGAAACAGCGTTGAGGTCCTAGACATCACTGGCAGAACACAAAACAAAACCCAATAATTCCTGAATAATGTCATTTATTGAAGTTTCACACATGATTCCTGTCGGTGCATCACCAGCTCAAGTAAATCCTTACTGTCAAGTATCAGACTCGCCAGTATGCCGTCTGTCTCACGTAACATTTGTCATATAACATTGCATCTATACTGAACACAAAATGTCAGGGATCATGAATATTTTTTTGGATTTTGTTTTCTAGTGAAGAGTGACGACACAATTTCATAAAAATATCCCCCGAAATACTCGTGATCCCTAACTTTTTGTGTTCAGTATAGAATGTGTAACATTTCACACAACGAAATTATCCACTTTATTCGTTACCAGGCTGTGTGAGCACTGTCTTCACAAGTATAACTTATAACACTGCAGGCCCTACGAGCCTGTAGTTGAGGCTGTTTGATGCAGGGACACACACAGGGTGGGAATATCACTGTCAGTGTTTGTTGACATCGTCTCTTCTAGTATACTGTCTCCAAATGCAATCCTAATATTGACAATGTTTTCTCAAAGTTTGCATGCTGATGTGGGCCTAGGTTAGGCACATCGCTGTTCAGAGACACTGACTGCAATTGATGCACTGTCTCGGCTCCAGTTCATGTCAGTGTTTGCCATCATGAGTTGCAGGTATGAAATAGTATATGCTACCTCCAATTAGCCACAGTGGGACATCAAGTAGACCCATGTGGAACAAGACATGGAATATGCTCTCTCCGTTCTAGCATGCCAATGTTTCAATGAAATAACTCACTCTATCTCAGATACCGGTTCCTATGCTGGACTTGACAACACACATAAACTCTCCAATCAGACATACCAATATTGGACGTGATATAACACACGCTATCTTTGATCAGGCATACCAATGTTGGATGTGATATAACACACGCTATCTTCGATCAGGCATACCAATGTTGGACGTGATATAACACACGCTATCTTCGATCACGCATACCAATGTTGGACGTGATATAACACGCTATCTTCGATCAGGCATACCAATGTTGGATGTGATATAACACGCTATCTTCGATCAGGCATACCAATGTTGGATGTGATATAACACGCTATCTTCGATCAGGCATACCAATGTTGGACGTGATATAACACACGCTATCTTCGATCAGGCATACCAATGTTGGACATGGTTTGTTCCAGGTAAGCTAGGGGCCCTGGTTGGTATGCTGGTGGGGGTTGAGGCGGAGGCATGACGAAAGGCTGAGGGACGGCACCTGGCATGGGGGGGCCAGGGTACGGGGCCATGCCTGGGTGCTGCTGTGGGTGCATCGGCTGGGGAGGGGGAGGTTGTTGCATCTGGGGGGGTTGCTGCTGGTGAAGCGAGGGCTGCTGGGGGGTGCCAGTGCCAGGCATGTTGCGGAGGAGGTTCTGCCAGTGCTGTAGACGTTCATGGTGTTTTTCTATCAGCTTCTCTTTTCTCTCAATCTCACTCTTCAGGTCGGCGATGTCCTGAAACAGTGACCATGTCATGTAGTTAGTGGGTGAGTGAGTTTAGTTTTACGGCACTTTTAGCAATATTCTAGCAATATCAAGGTGGGCTTCACACATGTCGGGAATCGAACCCAGATCTTCGGTGTGACGAATGAACGCTTTAACCCCTAGGCTACCCAACCGCCTGAGTGAGTGAGTGAGTGAGTGAGTGAGTGAGTGAGTGAGTGAGTGATGTTATACTCCGCTTTTAGTAATATTCCAGCATATCACCATGATCACGGTGGGGGACACCAGAAATGGGCTTCACACATTGTACCCATGTCGTGAATCGAACCCTGGTCTTCGGCGTGATGAGTGAACACTTTAACCACTAGGCTACCCAAACGCCCCCCCTATGGGTGAATGCATGTCAGTAAGAATGTGTGATTATTATAAATCCAATAACACAGCCACTGTAGCCACTAATCGGGAACCACCCGACCTGAGTACCCGAGTTACCCGTCCCAACCCTAGTGGCCACACTGCTCCACATCATCAGGGACACAAACCTCCTTCAGCACCTGCTCCGGCTTCTCCGTGGACATGATGAGCCTCTGACTCAGGAAGTACGCCTCTGTCTGACGAGCCAGATCCAGGAACTTGGATATTGTGTGGTCCACCCCTGCAACACGAAACACGAACACATCACCTGGGATACTATTATAATCTCTATAGCTTACCAAACTAAATATCCCACATGAGTTTTTGTCTTGGCCTGTTCGTCTGCCTGTTCGTATGTCGTAGTTGCAGCCATATTGGGAAACCCATATTATCACATGCCAGAACTCTGCCATTTATGCATTTATTTTAATCTCATGTCTTGTAGGCTTTAACAGTATTTCCTGTATGACGTTGATCTTAGGTGTTATACTGCCCTTGAAATTCTATTAAAATCAGGGATAGAAATTAACCTTAAAAATCTACTCGACTACTGGCCTGAATAGTGAGATCAGATGGATCAGGCTAGCGGGCTAGTGTTAATTTCTATCCCTGATTGTGCAATCGGCTGGAAAGCCAAAAGTGGTGAAGGTCACAGTAAGTTAGTGGATGAATGTTCTGTCAATGCCGCAGACAACCTGACCATTTAGTCACCTCTTGGATTCAAACCAAACCAGTGCACCCAGAACAGAGACATATGGTATTTAACTTGAGTGAAATATGTATCTAAAAGTTTCAGATATATGTACATCAACACAAAACATACTAAGTACATCGTAACATAAATTAGTAGAAATATTAAATATATTATTCTTTTCTTAATCAAAAGATTTGATTTCCCCATGAATACCCACCTGTCTTCGTCTCTTCGGAATCAACAACATTGAAATGCTCCTGGGTAGTGACCAAGGCAAGACAATTCTGAAACCCAAAATACACAATTAGGATCAATCTTTCCACAATCATCCTCAATATACCAATACATAGTGTAATTTACCGTATTCGACATCATAGACGCCCAGGGCCCTCTCAAAATTAGAAATAAGGGGCTCTTATTAGAATATTATTTGGGTGAAAAAATCAGAGTTGAAAGATAAATTTCGTGGTTTATGCTGACAGCCTGAAATGTTTACATAAGACAGATATATTTTTCCAGAATTTAATTGCCCATAATTATGGATGCATATAACACAAGAGTGCGTATTATAATAATATATATACGCGAATAAGTAAGTCTTTTGTACATTGATCAATCGAAGGGGTGCTAATTGGGATTGTTCACTAGCCAATATATTAGCAAATATCGCTGTGGGCACCTTTTAGAGCGGGGCGCTTATTACGTCGAATAAGGTAATCTCCATTCTGTTTGAATAATACAGTGGACCCATTTGCTATCATAGCTGTATTTGGGAAGTGGTGTCCCATGTCCATCTCTTTCACCAGTAAGTTAGAATTTATCTCACATACGGGTGTTAGTTGATTGGGCGGCTATTTTGAGAATAAAAACAACAATGTCATTGAGTCAAAACATGGCTGTGGTAGTGAATGGGTTCAGAGCAGTCTGCGACTTTAGCCACTGGTCCAAATTCCATGTCTAGTAAATTTCTATTCAGTCTGGTAAACTCAGCTAATAATACTAATAGTCCATATGTTAACACTAAAATCTAATGCCAATGATGTAGGTATGTTCGGGCTAGTTGGCACAAAGTTTTGGGGACAGACTTTCAGTGTATTTACCATCATACAAAGAAGATAGCACATGGTAGAATATCGGTCAAAAGTATTTATCATCATAATATGGAGTTGATACACGAAGATGTTCTACCAATGACCACTGTACCATCTTTTCTTGAAAGCTTCTTACTGTGACATTTGACAATCATAATGCATAAATCTCCAGTATAGATCATTTGAGCATATTTAACATAGAACACAGTCCTTATTATTTGTGATAGCATCAGTGTTGCCATGGTAATGTGTTGGCTCATGAACTCTTTAACCTAGCCGAGCTTCAAGTTGGCAGGACTAGTGCAATCCTCCTCTAATCATGCAGCGCTAATTTGAATAAAGAAGTAGATGTTCTCCCAGTTGGTAAAAAGGGAGATAGTGATGTCCCATCTGAAAAAAACCTTTTGTGGCAAATAGGTCCAGGATATTTATCAAAATAGAGGTATGTACCCAAAGGGTCCACTGGATAATTTACCCAAAGCTTCCATTGCACAATCTGCCCAAGTTGTCAAATTGACGCTCCACTGTCCCTTGTTTTTGTTTGCTGAATCTTGTGTTCATAGGGGCAGACATAATCCCAATGAAAGGTGAAACCAACATTCTTATGTCTTCAACACAAATATTTAATGAGTTTATCCCAGAAAGGTCATTATGAGCATATTTGCATTTGCAACATGTGAGTCATTTTCAAAAAATAATTCCGAAATATAGATAAGCAATCCAATAGCAAGACAAAAGAAGGAAACTTCTTACTGCCACATATTTCACATAACTATTGTTTACCACATGTCCAGGGGAATATTGGGGGCACTGGTGGCCCAGTAGTCTAAGGAGCCATGATTCGCTGTGCAGAGTTGTGTCCCTTGGACATGCCAGAAACCTATGATTTTGGGTTCGAATCCCGTGTTGTCCCGATTATCTTTCTAGGTTTGTCAGCACCATACCCGTTCTCGTGGGTTTCACCAAAGTGGTAAACGTCTTGAGACCTGTATCACTTCGGGCTTTCCTCCCATATTAAGCTGACACGCCGTGATGAAACTGGAATACTGTTAAAAGCGGCATCAAACCAAACTCACTCACTCACTAAGGCGAATATTAATTAGAATCATATAACAGGGGTTTTTACTCTACATAGTTTGTTGGGTTTTTTAATGATAGATTGTGGCTGCAGAACATATAAATTTATCTGAAAAGTCTATTTCCATATCATTTGAATCCTAATAAGACTGACTTTATACACAGGAAAGTCAATACATCTACTGAGTTAGTAAATCATGTTCAGGTGTATGAAACAACACGTAGAGTGAGTGACTCTAAGGAGATAAACATGCGAATTCAACATTTTAACATATGTTGAATGGACTATCATTAATCAACAAGAGTTTCACCCACACCAGTGACACTCATGTTGTATACTCCTTCAGTTTGTGAATTTGTGTCGATATATTAACATTACGCTTTTTTGATACATGACAAATGTGATATTTTGCAATATATTAAGAAACAGTCCTAGTTTTCACTCTAATCACATGAACAACTGTTAAACACATCAAGACAACTTTCTCTTAAAAACAAGCCATCAACTGAGTATTTACAATGTCTGTATGATGCTAACACTAACACACACACAGATACATAGACACACACACACACACACACACACACACACACACACACACACACACAGATACATAGACACACAGACACCATTAAAGCGCGAGTAATTGTGATAAAAATGGCCATCCAAAAATGTATGATGTCCGAAAACCCATGATCCGACGATATATTTTATGTTGCAACATCAGGTTATTGATAAAATGGCCCCTTGTAAAAATGGACCCAAACAAAACTAACACAAATCTGCAGTAGTTTAGTTTATACAGTTAGGACATAGGATCCTTTTCTCACATCTGGCATTATTAATTATTATTTTGTTTGTGTTTCAATTAAAATGATGTACTAACCACTGTCACATAGAAAGCCAGAGAGGCCACAGACAATGTCACATAATGGAGAAGTTAGGATTAGTGAAGGCCCTGTATTTGAGAAAAGGGAGCCATGTATAATTGTTATTTGGTTTAGGGCTTTTCAATCACAATTATTGAGAACTTCTGGGGCCCCAAGTTCTTCGGTTAGTTCATACAAGTGATTTTCAATTAACTTTGTTAGCATGGTTATCCATTGGTCCCTTTTATTTATGGGCATGGCTGATATTAGCGAAAGTGCACTCCATGAACTGTGGAAATGATTAAATTGTGCCCTGATGACGTGCATCCAATCTTTCCTTCAACATATAACTTGTTGGGGATTTCAGAAAAGAAATATCGCGCGTCTTAACCTGAAACGCTGTTTCCAAATTATCAATGATGTGAGTTTGGCCTCCATCACTTGTGGAGGCGGCCATTTTTCGGTAAACAATGAAAACTTCGGTAACGTTCGGAATATTCCGCCTCAAGGTGCGTCAACCGTTTATCCAGCATACGGTTTCAAGTGAATGTATAATCGAGGTCATAACGGTCATCACTTTGTTTACTTCCGGGTTCACTCAGCTGAGGGACACCACTCTTCTGTCTGAACGAGATCGAAATAGTGACAGCTTTATTCTCGGAACAACGACGATTCATATTTTGTTATATGGAAAATCTGATGTAATGGTCTACATGGAAAATTAATGTTGTACGAATTTTATTGTAACCTTCAACAATTTTCCAACGATTCAGACAGACTCTGCGTGGTGTTTTTAAGGAACCCGGAAGCGCTGTTAAATTGGGTTTTAATACGTGCCTCCCTGTGAATAAGTTATTTAGGGCGTGTCATGATTAAAACTCTTCATGACAGAGTGAGGGAGACAACTGACAGATCTTCCCACTATTTTGAAGTCACGTCATTAACTCAAGTCTTTACTGTGTCAGTGGTTTGAGCATATCTACTTTCTGATATCATATCCTGTTTATAACTCCTTACAATCTGTATGGGCCGTTGACGTAAACTATCAATTCTAAAAGTGAGGAAATAATTTCTCACGTTTTTGCAACAATGCCGTCAAGTACAAGTACAAGCAGGAGTTCAGGGAGAAATCGCGAGGGTGGCACAAGGCGAAATCGATCCAGAGTAAGATCTCGTACCCGACACCGAGAATCAAGAAGCCATTCACAGAGTCAGAGTCAGAGTCGTTTTCGCTTCAAGCTCAAGGAGCGAAACTACCCGGCAGCAGTGTGCAGCATGATAACGATCGTGCTGTTGTGTGTGTCAATGGCTGAACCCCGGTGGATATCGCTCCGAGGAGGGGGCTGCAGTTTGGCAGACACAAAGAATGGATATCTTCACTCTCTTGGTGTCAACCAATTTTTCTACAGCGGCAAATTGGTTACCATGCAATCAGACAAGTCTATACACTACCATTTTGGTCCAGATCCAGATGAAGGTAGTCATCATTTTAGCATCTGTAATCACTTTGACAACCTCTCAGTGTATGAAGATTCCGGGGTAGAATAGGTCTTCAGCAACCCATGCTTACCGTAAAAGATGACTATGCTTGTCGTAAAAGGCGACTAATGGGATCGGGTGGTCAGGCTCGCTGACTTGGTTAATGCATGTCATTGATCCCAATTGCGTGGATCGATGCTCATGATATTAATCACTGGATTGTCTGGTCCAGACTCGATTATTTACAGACCGCCGTCATATAGGTGGAATATTGCTGAGTGCGGCGTTAAACAACAAACAAACAAACGTATATCTATCATAGGCATGCTAGTGTCATAGTCATGATTGTAATTTGATACAGACATCCCTTCCTCTATTTGTGTTTCTCAATAAGAACTTAAAGAGTGACTGTACTTATGAATCAGTCCATTTGGCAGTCTTAGAATGTTTGATTTAATTGGTTTAAACTCTTGTACCACACAGTTTATGTTATGTATGCCAATCTAGCATTTATATGTTGAATAATGTTTAAGCACTGCATCTCAGTTAATAATGATCACCAGTTACAAACTCTAAACTATAGCGATACTTATTATGAAACGGGAGCTAAAGTGTTTGACAACGATGGACAAATTCTGTTTTCTAAACACTAAATATGGTCATTTGCTGCCTTTTAGTTAGCATGCATTCAGGGGAGATAACAATGTGAGAGAAAAAATCACTTCCATGATTCCGCCATTGTGTCAATCAATTTGTGAATGAATTTCTGTGTAGGATAAGCAATACAAATAATAACCAAACTTGTTATATATTGTTTACTCACTATTTGGGAAGGTGGGAAGATTTTTTGAATGAACATTTCGTTCAGAAATGATATGCCAAAAATTTGTTTGTTGGCAACCCCACCCACCCCCCCTGCTATAAATCAAATGGATGCTCCCTAATCTGCTAATGGAACACAGAAAAAATATTTCAAAATGTATCAATTGAAACGTGTATTACCATGATTACAGTACACAGTTGTATACCAGAAATACAGTGCTGTTCTAATAATGAACCAATTATTGTTCAAGACAGCCATCTTGATTTGAGAACTGCATGAATGGTAGTTATCTACATTTGAGACCCGTGAAGATCCGGGGTAGAACATCTTCAGCAACCCATGCTTGCCGTAAAAGGCGACTATGCTTGTCGTAAGAGGCGACTAACAGGATCAGGTGGTCAGGCTCGCATGTTATCATATCCCAATTGTGTGGATAAATGCTCATGATGTCAATCACTGGATTGTGTGGTCGAGACTCTATTATTTACAGACTGCTGTCACATAGTTGGAATATAGCAACAAACAGACACAAAACAAAATATCTTCATCTGACATTATTATATGTAAAACAAAGTGACATTCAGCGTTTTACATGTTTTTGTTTCATCTTGTCATCACCAACGTGAAAAGCCATGAGTTGGACAGGATAGGCCATACTTCTTTGATACAAAATGAATCAGCTGTGTCACAATGCAGTTGCATTATCATGGTTATGCTTTGTTCTCATGTTATTGGTAAATAAGGCCAGGATATTACCAATCACTATTGCATTAGTGGCATCACAATAGTGTGTTTAATTAAAATGACCCAAACAGGCGAACCTAGTACTGACTGTTGCCATGGAAACTGTCATTCCAGTGTTGATCAACTGTGTGGACAGCAAGTCGGTGCTGCTCTTCAAGATTGTCATCTTCTTCAGTTTCTTGACGATTATGATCTGCATGGCTTCCTTCCTCCTCGACCTAACAGGGCCGTCCGGGAGAGTTCTGCAAAGATTTCACCGTAATGCAATCTTCAGCATCATTACAGGTAGGTGGCAGTACACGGAAACCTGGCTAGAACGAGAACAGGCTATTGTACCTTGGTAACTACAAGTAAATATTATTCTGCGAAGGCCATTCTGACCATGTGCTAACCTTGCTAAGCATGAGAAGTACACCATGTGTCATATACCATGGCTATGCTGTACCTTTGACTTTAACTTACTATGTGTGGGTTCAATGTGTTTCACATGTTTCAGGGATCTTGTGCATGGTTATCAATGTGTTTCACATGTTTCAGTAACCCTGTGCATTATTATCAATGTGTTTGACATGATTCAGTGACCCTGTACATGGTTAACAATGTGTTTCACATGTTTCAGGGATCTTGTGCATGCTATCAATGTGTTTCACATGTTTCAGTGACCCTGTGCATGGTAAACAATTTGTTTCACATGTTTCAGTGACCCCGTGCATCATTATCAATGTTTCACTTGTTTCAGTGACCCTGTGCATGGTTAACAATGTGTTTCACACGTTTCAGTGACGCTGTGCATGGTTAACAATGTGTTTCACATGTTTCTGTGATCCTGTGTGGGGGAAATAATGCATGTTTGAAATGTTTCAGTGATCCATTGTGGGAAATAATGCATGTTTCACATGTTTCAGTGACCCTGTGTGTTGGTAATAATGCATGTTTCACATGTTTCAGTGACCCTGTGTGTTGGTAATAATGCATGTTTCACATGTTTCAGTGACCCTGTGTGTTGGTAATAATGCATGTTTCACATGTTTCAGTGACCCTGTGTGTTGGTAATAATGCATGTTTCACATGTTTCAGTGACCCTGTGTGTTGGTAATAATGCATGTTTCACATGTTTCAGTGACCCTGTGTGTGGTCATCAACCTGTTCTGCTACTGGATATCCTTCCTTGTTGAGCAAATCCAGAAGAAGACAAAGCAGGATCACGTGGAGGTCACATTTGACATCAGTTTCTACTTGGTGGCGGCGGCAGGAAGTGCCTCCGTGTTTGCCGTGGCGTGTAACTGTTTCCGACGCTACCCCCTGCACGAGGATGTCTCATACCAGCGCCTCAATGAATGTGATGACATGGAGTCTCTGGCTGCCATGTACGACCAGCAGACCGCCCCACCCCCCAACGTCTCCCCGCCCCCATATTCTCCCTCCCCCAACACACCAGCAGCAGGGGTCACACCCGCCCCACAGGAATCAGCTGCTGCTCAGTCTCTCAGTGTCAGTGCTTAGCAAGAAGCCAGTCTCGGGTGATGGGCTAGGTCTTACAGGGAATACAGCCACAGTTACGTTGGCCAGAGCCGGCACACATTCACATTCATGTTACAAGAGATGTGTCACAGACATGTACATTCTATAAGGGATTAGGGTGGACAGAAGCATTTGATGGTCATGAATATATATGACAGGATTTTCATGAATAGGTCACAATAAATTGATTATTAAATTAAGATATGATTTTTTTAAGTATGAGTCAGGAGTATATCTCTGTGTAATGGGTTTTCGTATGCTTAAGAAACATTCATAGTTTTCTCATAATAATTACAAGAACAACTGTAAAACATCTCACTCAGTTATAAAAGAAAAACTTTATCTTAAAAATAGGCCATGATCCAAGTATTTGCAATGTCTGTGTGACGTCACACCAGGATAAGCATGGCCGTCCTAAAACGTATGATGTCCGAAAACGAATGATGTCCGAAAACCTATGTCCGAAAACCTATGATGTCCGAAAATCTATGATGTCCGAGACCTATGATCCGAGGATACATTAACTGTTGACGGATGCGATTTACAGGAAGCCTGCACAGACTTTGTACAGTGTGTATTTTATCAAGTAAGGAAAGAAGGACACATGTCGTGAGTTTCTTCACCTGTAGGTGCTGATGACTGTAATACGACGTGAGGCAGGGTGTTTGGTAGGGAGTCGGGTGGGGATGAAAATCTAAGAATCAATTTATAATGGCCACAGGCAGAGGCCTTTGGAAAAGAAATAGGCAAGGGAGAATTAATTTTTGGTTACATATTTAGAACATTACCATTGCTTTAGTGATGACTGCGAGGGCGTTTTTGCCAAGTTGGGGAGGACCATCTCATCTGCAAACATGACTGAATAATCTCTGCACACCTATACTATACCTTTGTATAATACCAGGCAGTTTTATGATGTTGATCTGACTTTATAGTAAAATAAGTGCTTACCTTGTCAAAACACGATGTAAGCCTGTTTATAGCCAAATGTATGGTACTGCAACCTGTTGTAGCCATATGTAGGGTACTATGCCCTGTTTATAGCCATATGTAGTGTGCTATACCCTGCTTATAGCAATATGTAGGGTATTGTTCCCTGTTTATTGCCATATGGAGGTTATTGTACCCTGTATATAGCCATATGTAGGGTACTGTACCCTGTTTAGAGCCACATGTAGGGTACTGTACCCTGTTTATAGCCACATGTAGGGTACTATACCCTGTTTAGAGCAATATGTAGGGTACTGTACCCTGTTTAGAGCCACATGTAGGGTACTATGCCCTGTTTATAGCCATATGTAGTGTGCTATACCCTGCTTATAGCAATATGTAGGGTATTGTTCCCTGTTTATTGCCATATGGAGGTTATTGTACCCTGTATATAGCCATATGTAGGGTACTGTACCCTGTTTAGAGCCACATGTAGGGTACTGTACCCTGTTTATAGCCACATGTAGGGTACTATACCCTGTTTAGAGCAATATGTAGGGTACTGTACCCTGTTTAGAGCCACATGTAGGGTACTGTACCCTGTTTATAGCCACATGTAGGGTACTGTACCCTGTGTATAGCCACATGTAGGGTACTGTACCCTGTTTAGAGCCACATGTAGGGTACTGTACCCTGTGTATAGCCACATGTATGGTACTATACCCTGTTTAGAGCAATATGTAGGGTACTGTACCCTGTTTAGAGCCACATGTAGGGTACTGTACCCTGTTTATAGCCACATGTAGGGTACTATGCCCTGTTTATAGCCATATGTAGTGTGCTATACCCTGCTTATAGCCATATGTAGGGTACTGTACCCTGTTTAGAGCCACATGTAGGGTACTGTACCCTGTTTATAGCCACATGTAGGGTACTATACCCTGTTTAGAGCAATATGTAGGGTACTGTACCCTGTTTAGAGCCACATGTAGGGTACTGTACCCTGTTTATAGCCACATGTAGGGTACTGTACCCTGTGTATAGCCACATGTAGGGTACTGTACCCTGTTTAGAGCCACATGTAGGGTACTGTACCCTGTGTATAGCCACATGTATGGTACTATACCCTGTTTAGAGCAATATGTAGGGTACTGTACCCTGTTTAGAGCCACATGTAGGGTACTGTACCCTGTTTATAGCCACATGTAGGGTACTATGCCCTGTTTATAGCCATATGTAGTGTGCTATACCCTGCTTATAGCCATATGTAGGGTACTGTACCCTGTTTAGAGCCACATGTAGGGTACTGTACCCTGTTTATAGCCACATGTAGGGTACTATACCCTGTTTAGAGCAATATGTAGGGTACTGTACCCTGTTTAGAGCCACATGTAGGGTACTGTACCCTGTTTATAGCCACATGTAGGGTACTGTACCCTGTGTATAGCCACATGTAGGGTACTGTACCCTGTTTAGAGCCACATGTAGGGTACTGTACCCTGTGTATAGCCACATGTAGGGTACTATACCCTGTTTAGAGCAATATGTAGGGTACTGTACCCTGTGTATAGCCACATGTAGGGTACTGTACCCTGTTTAGAGCCACATGTAGGGTACTGTACCCTGTGTATAGCCACATGTAGGGTACTATACCCTGTTTAGAGCAATATGTAGGGTACTGTACCCTGTTTAGAGCCACATGTAGGGTACTGTACCCTGTTTATAGCCACATGTAGGGTACTGTACCCTGTGTATAGCCACATGTAGGGTACTGTCACCTGTTTATAGCCACATGTAGGGTACTGTACCCTGTGTATAGCCACATGTAGGGTACTGTACCCTGTGTATAGCCACATGTAGGGTACTGTACCCTATTTTTAGCCACATGTAGGGTACTGTACCCTGTGTATAGCCAAATGTTGGGTACTGTACCCTCTGTATAGCCACATGTAGGGTACTGTCACCTGTTTATAGCCACAAGTAGGGTACTGTACCCTGTTTAGAGCAATATCTGGGGTACTGTACCCTGTTTAGAGCAATATGTCTTATATTGTCTTTTTTGAAGGGCAGTATGTATCATACTGTCCTCTCTTTAGGGCGATATGTATCATACTGTCCTCTCTGTAGGGCAATATGTATCATACTGTCCTCTCTTTAGGGCAATATGTATCATACTGTCCTCTCTTTAGAGCAATATGTATCATACTGTCCTCTCTTAAGGTCAATATGTATCATACTGTCCTCTCTTTAGGGCAATATGTATCATACTGTCCTCTCTGTAGGGCAATATGTATCATACTGTCCTCTCTTTAGGGCAATATGTATCATACTGTCCTCTCTGTAGGGCAATATGTATCATACTGTCCTCTCTTTAGAGCAATATGTATCATACTGTCCTCTCTTTAGGGCAATATGTATCATACTGTCCTCTCTGTAGGGCAATATGTATCATACTGTCCTCTCTTTAGGGCAATATGTATCATACTGTCCTCTCTTTAGGGCAATATGTATCATACTGTCCTCTCTGTAGGGCAATATGTATCATCACCGCTCCCACTATTGTTACATTCCTTATAATATGGCCTGAATTGTATATATATTCTGTATATATTGAGAACCAATCCCCCGTGAAGTGTGATAATGTGTATATATACATTGAATCTGTATTGACTGATGAACATGTTGAAGATCTGGAAAATTTGAATCCACAAGTTGTTCTATTTTTTATTGTTGGTTGTGATCACATGATCATGTTATGTTGTCATGTTTATAGAACTATATTTTCATATGATATAGTCAGGAGAATTTCTTTTCAAGATTTTTGTTATGTAAGTTAGCAGGTTAAGGGACCTAAGATCGCGTAGCCATGGCAACACAATGACAGGAATTGCTATGCCTGTGATGAGACTGTCTACAATATGAGAGTAAGGTGAGGATAGGTTAGACAATCAGATGCGTGAAAACTTGGCACTTGTCATGTTGAGGATCCAGTTTCATTACCAGACCTTTTATTTTTTATCTGTTGATCTACAACAGACTGTACAAAACTGAAAACAGAAAAAAAACACTTTTGACAAAATAATTGTATCGACTCTTGTTTCGCAGTTATATCATATTGTCCTAACACCTATCTGTTTGAAGGACAAACCCACTCCAATTTAAAGACAGATGGTCTTGAAACTACTTAAAGGTGGGCGTGTCATTGATTGGCATGTTTAGTATCGATATATCGACTCAAAAATATCATGATATATCGATTAATAAATTAAGCAGTTATTCTGGATATGAATAGATAAAGAAATTCTATCTAAACCTGCAATTAATCAACTTATTAAAATTGCTAAATTTGAACTAGGTTGATCCTTAAATGTCAAAATTTGAATTTTCTGCCTTTTTATTGTCCATCTTAACCATGGTAATCTTTACATATGCAGGGAATTATCAGCATCATTTTTCATAAATTTGTATTGATACAGCATCAACATTATAAATTTATCGATATCGCGATATATATGATTACGTCCCTACTAAAAAGTGGTAATTGAAACCCCAAATGACACACTGGCTGATGTGTTTCTAGATTTTCACTTCAAATGTCTGTGTGTGTTAATAAGGATGACAGAATCTGCTGGAATATTGCCAAACCATCGACTACCAACACGAACTCGATGTCCTGTCAAGTTTAGAATTATATTTCATTAAGTAGAAGTAGCAGTTAAGTTAATTTGAAATTGAAAATTTAATGCAATTTACGGTTGGCAGTGTCAAGTATGGAGCAATTGATGAAAATATTTATGTTTTCACTTGTAATAAGTGTTTGGTGTAACATTTATTAAAGGTAAGAATAGATACTTTTTACTTTGAGTGCAATTGTGATCGATACTTGTATCGAGAAGTAAAAAATCGGGATCTACCGATGCATCGTGTATTGTCCCACTGCTATTAGATGGCCAGAAGAAAGATGTGTTGTCAACACATGAGTAGTCTCAACATTCAGGTGTTGCTGTATTTTGTGTGTAGTGGAAGCTGGTGAAGTGATTGTTCTGATTGCCTTGGGACATGGACTTGCTACACTAAAGTACTCATGGAAATGAAAAAAAACCAGTTTTGCTGGATTTAATAATCGACACAAAGCATTACGTAGATGTAAATACGAAATAACAAAACAACTGGAATAGTACTAGTCTGGATTAGCTAGTTTTATCTCTGTGCTCAATACAAACGACTTTACAGGAGGTAATTTGTAGGCACTTTCAACATTCAAAAATAAAATTGACATGGCAGAAGCAGGCTATAGGCATTATGCAAATTAGCCTGGAAAAAAGTTATCAAAACAACAATAAAAATAACAGCTATGTTTATGTACATAATAATAATGACATGTAAGTTGTTGTTTGAGAAGGGAATATGTTACTTTTACGTTCTGATATTTTGACGATGATTCACTATCCCACAATGCCACTACCAAATCACTAACCACTGACAAATCACATGCATGTGGGTTTCAAGCACCTGTTTTCACCTGTCGTCAAGGTGTCATAGGTCATGGACATTCACCTTGATCTACTAACACCTGGTTATGCTCAGTTTCACAATAGTCTGTTTTGTTCATATTTTTACACACTTTTACGTGTAAAAAGACATAAAAACCTTTGATACGCTGTATTTGTGCCAAGGCCCAATTAGTACTAATTGAGTTGTTTGAATATTTATATATTTTGTATGTTAACTGCATTTATTTAAAATCTGAGATCGAAAAAACAGGTTTTTTTTCATTTCCGTGAGTACTTTAATACTTCTGCAAGATTGAGCCAGCCAGTAGTGTCTTCCTACATTCCATGTCTGTTGAGACTTTTACAATTTTGAGGCTGTTGTTAATTTCCAGTGCTTTACATTTCTCTGGCAGGCCATGGTAGCTTGGATATATCTTGCTGTTATATCTACCCCACTCTGTTGCTGTCATGTTAACACTTTTCACACTGTGTGTGATGAAGGCTGTGTTAGTTTGCATATTTATTAACCTTTGCATTTTTGTAAACATTTTATGTTGCAAGCTCCCCATTGACCCGGATCAACAAACTATGTCACATATATAATTGTTGTGTCATCCTGAGATCACAAATAATTACATTTGTTGTCATACAGATGACACACTTGAAGTCAGACATGTGACTTACATTGATTGTCATACATCCGACTCACATTGGTTTCATATAGGTGACTCACATATGAAGTTATACAGGTGACTCACATATGAAGTCATACAGGTGACTATTATATGAAGTCATACAGGTGACTTGCATGAAGTCATACAGGTGACTCACATATGAAGTCATACAGGTGACTAACATATGAAGTCATGCAGGTGACTCATGTAAAGTTATACAGGTGACTCACATATGAAGTCATACAGGTGACTCACATATGAAGCTATACCGGTGACTCACATCATCATACAGGTGACACACATTGACACAACCTTAAATGTAGAAACTAGGTCTCATTGAACATTCCCCACCCTAAGTCTCAGTAAATATAAACCTCTCTCAATGCCCAGGTCTAACATTCCCAGCCAAGGCCTCGGTAAACATCCAAAATCTTCTGTCTCAGTAAGCACCCCCACTTGTAGGTCTTTGTAAACAGCCCCAACCTATGTCTCAGAAAACATCTCCACCTTCATATCTCTGCAGACAGCCCCACCCCTAGGTCTGTAGACAACCCCCTCCCTAGGTCTCTGTAAACAGCCCCACCCCTAGGTCTGTAGACATCACCGTCCCTAGGTCTCTATAGACAGCCCCCTCCCTAGGTCTCTGTAAACAGCCCCACCCCTAGGTCTGTAGACATCACCGTCCCTAGGTCTCTATAGACAGCCCCCTCCCTGTCTCTATAGACAGCCCCCTCCCTTGGTCTCTGTAGACAACCCCCTCCCTTGGTCTCTGTAGACAACCCCCTCCCTAGATCTCTACAGACAAACCCACCCCTAGGTCTCAATAGACAGTCCCATCCCTAGGTCTCTGTAGACAGCCCTATGCCTAGGTCTCTGTAGACAACTTCCTCTCAAGGTCTCTGTAGACAGCCCCATGCCTAGGTCTCTGTAGACAACTTCCTCTCAAGGTCTCTGTAGACAACCCCATGCCTAGGTCTCTGTAGACAACTTCCTCCCAAGGTCTCTGTAGACTACCTTACCAATGTGTTAGGCCAGTAGGATGTAGCATCTAAAACCTGTTTTATTATTACGCCAGGGTATTCATGGAATCACTCACTCACTCTACTTTTTGTCACTATGTCTCTGTAAGCCAGTAGGTAGGATGTGATGTGTGTCTACTGACTCAGCTGATGCCTCCAGGATGTATATATACAGACAGCACATCTGATATTTCTGGTTACATCGATTTGTCTTGTTCACAGTTCTATATGAATAATTTGTGACTGCTAATTATAAAACCAACCACAAGCTTATGATTATTGTGATACGTGTCTGCCTTGAGTATCCACACAAACCTCCACAATCTTAAACACTTACATTTCAGAGTGTTGCTCTTTGTTTACATGAAAGTTCTGAGGTGAATGAATGACTGTAGATATGTAAATAAGTCTGTTAAATCAAAAACTGTACACTTATTATCCATTGTTACCAATATTCAAGACTCGTGGAATAAATTTTATATTACAGAGGGCATTATTTTTATTGAATTATTGTCTTTGGGGAATCATGTTCCCATCATCACATGCCTGTCTCCGTGGTTGGATACGATATGTCACATGCCTGTCTCCGTGCTTGGATATGATATGTCACATGCCTGTCTACATAGTAAGATACAATAGGCCACATGCCTGTCTCCACAGTGAGATCCAATAGGTCACATGCTCCACAGTGAGATCCAATAGGCCACATGCCTGTCTCCACAGTGAGATCCAATAGGTCACATGCTCCACAGTGAGATCCAATAGGCCACATGCCTGTCTCCACAGTGAGGTCCAATAGGCCACATACCTGTCTCCACAGTGAGATCCAATAGGTCACATGCTCCACAGTGAGATCCAATAGGCCACATGCCTGTCTCCACAGTGTGATACAATAGGCCACATGCCTGTCTACACAGTGAGATACAATAGGTCACATGCCTGTCTACACAATGTGATACAATAGGCCACATACCTGTCTCCACAGTGTGATCCAATAGGTCCCATGCTCCACAGTGAGATCCAATAGGCCACATACCTGTCTCCACAGTGTGATCCAATAGGTCACATGCTCCACAGTGAGATCCAATAGGCCACATGCCTGTCTCCACAGTGTGATACAATAGGTCACATGCCTGTCTACACAATGTGATACAATAGGCCACATGCCTGTCTACACAGTGAGATACAATAGGTCACATGCCTGTCTACACAATGTGATACAATAGGCCACATGCCTGTCTACACAGTGAGATCCAATAGGTCACATGCCTGTCTACACAGTGTGATACAATAGGTCACATGCCTGTCTACACAGTGTGATACAATAGGTCACATGCCTGTCTACACAGTGTGATACAATAGGCCACATGCCTGTCTCCACAGTGTGATACAATAGGCCACGTGCCTTTCACACAGTGAGATCCAATAGTCCACATGCCTGTCTCCATAGTGTGATACAATAGGCCACATGCCTTTCACACAGTGTGATACAATAGGTCACATACCTGTCTACATAGTAAGATACAATAGGTCACATGCCTGTCTCCACAGTGTGATACAATAGGCCACATGCCTTTCACACAGTGTAATACAATAGTCCACATGCCTGTCTCCATAGTGTGATACAATAGGCCACATGCCTTTCACACAGTGTGAAACAATAGGCCACATGCCTGTCTCCACAGTGTGATACAATAGTCCACATGCCTGTCTCCACAGTGTGATACAATAGGCCACATGCCTTTCACACAGTGTGATACAATAGTCCACATGCCTGTCTCCATAGTGTGATACAATAAGCCACATGCCTGTCTCCACAGTGAGATACAATAGTCCACATGCCTGTCTCCACAGTGTGATACAATAGGCCACATGCCTGTCTTCATAGTAAGATACAATATGTCACATGCTTGTCTCCACAGTGTGATACAATAGGCCACATGCCTGTCTCCACAGTGTGATACAATAGGCCACATGCCTGTCTCCACAGTGTCATACAATAGGCCACATGCCTGTCTTCATAGTAAGATACAATATGTCACATGCTTGTCTCCACAGTGTGAAACAATAAGCCACATGCCTGTCTCCACAGTGTGAAACAATAGGCCACATGCCTGTCTACATAGTAAAATACAATATGTCACATGCCTGTCTACACAGTGTGATACAATAGGCCACATGCCTGTCTACACAGTGTGATACAATAAGCCACATGCCTGTCTACACAGTGTGATACAATAAGCCACATGCCTGTCTCCACAGTGGGATACAATAAGCCACATGCTTGTCTCCACAGTGTGATACAATATGTCACATGCTTGTCTCCACAGTGTGATACAATAGGCCACATGCCTGTCTCCACAGTGGGATACAATAAGCAACATGCCTGTCTCCACAGTGTGATACAATAAGCCACATGCCTGTCTACATAGTAAGATACAATAGGCCACATGCCTGTCTTCATAGTAAGATACAATATGTCACATGCTTGTCTCCACAGTGTGAAACAATAAGCCACATGCCTGTCTCCACAGTGTGATATAATAGGCCACATGCCTGTCTCCACAGTGTGATACAATAGGCCACATGCCTGTCTTCATAGTAAGATACAATATGTCACATGCTTGTCTCCACAGTGTGAAACAATAAGCAACATGCCTGTCTCCACAGTGTTAAACAATAGGCCACATGCCTGTCTACATAGTAAAATACAATATGTCACATGCCTGTCTACATAGTAAGATACAATAGGCCACATGCCTGTCTCCACAGTGATATACAATAGGTCACATACCTGTCTCCACAGTGATATACAATAGGCCACATGCCTGTCTCCACAGTGTGATACAATAAGCCACATGCCTGTCTCCACAGTGTGATACAATAAGCCACATGCCTGTCTACATAGTAAGATACAATAGGCCACATGCCTGTCTCCACAGTGATATACAATAGGTCACATACCTGTCTCCACAGTGATATACAATAGGCCACATGCCTGTCTACACAGTAAGATACAATAGGCCACATGCCTGTCTACATAGTAAGATACAATAGGCCACATGCCTGTCTACATAGTAAGATACAATAGGCCACATGCCTGTCTACATAGTAAGATACAATAAGCCACATGCCTGTCTCCACAGTGTGATACAATAAGCCACATGCCTGTCTACACAGTGGGATACAATAAGCCACATGCCTGTCTACACAATGTGATACAATAGGCCACATGCCTGTCTCCACAGTGTGATACAATAGGCCACATGCCTGTCTCCACAGTGTGATACAATAAGCCACATGCCTGTCTCCACAGTGTGATACAATAAGCCACATGCCTGTCTACATAGTAAGATACAATAGGCCACATGCCTGTCTCCACAGTGATATACAATAGGTCACATGCCTGTCTCCATAGTGTGATACAATAGGCCACATGCCTGTCTCCACAGTGAGATACAATAGTCCACATGCCTGTCTCCACAGTGTGATACAATAGTCCACATGCCTGTCTCCATAGTGTGATAGAATAGGCCACATGCCTTTCACACAGTGTGATACAATAGTCCACATGCCTGTCTCCATAGTGTGATACAATAAGCCACATGCCTGTCTCCACAGTGAGATACAATAGTCCACATGCCTGTCTCCACAGTGAGATACAATAGTCCACATGCCTGTCTCCATAGTGTGATACAATAAGCCACATGCCTGTCTTCATAGTGATATACAATAAGCCACATGCCTGTCTCCACAGTGTGATACAATAAGCCACATGCCTGTCTTCATAGTGTGATACAATAAGCCACATGCCTGTCTCCACAGTGGGATACAATAGGCCACATACCTGTCTCCACAGTGTGATACAATAGGGCACATGCCTGTCTCCACAGTGTGATACAATAGTCCACATGCCTGTCTCCATAGTGTGATACAATAAGCCACATGCCTGTCTCCACAGTGAGATACAATAGGCCACATACCTGTCTCCACAGTGTGATACAATAGGCCACATGCCTGTCTCCACAGTGTGATACAATAGGTCACATGCCTGTCTCCACAATGTGATACAATAGGTCACATGCCTGTCTACACAGTGTGATACAATAGGCCACATGCCTGTCTCCACAGTGTGATACAATAAGCCACATGCCTGTCTCCACAGTGTGATACAATAAGCCACATGCCTGTCTACACAGTGTGATACAATAAGCCACATACCTGTCTTCATAGTGATATACAATAAGCCACATGCCTGTCTCCACAGTGAGATACAATAGGCCACATACCTGTCTCCACAGTGTGATACAATAGGCCACATGCCTGTCTCCACAGTGTGATACAATAGGCCACATGCCTGTCTACACTGTGTGATACAATAGGCCACATGCCTGTCTACACAGTGTGATACAATAAGCCACATGCCTGTCTCCACAGTGTGATACAATAAGCCACATGCCTGTCTCCACAGTGTGATACAATAAGCCACATGCCTGTCTACACAGTGTGATACAATAAGCCACATACCTGTCTTCATAGTGATATACAATAAGCCACATGCCTGTCTCCACAGTGATATACAATAAGCCACATGCCTGTCTCCACAGTGTGATACAATAAGCCACATGCCTGTCTCCACAGTGTGATACAATAAGCCACATGCCTGTCTACACAGTGTGATACAATAAGCCACATACCTGTCTTCATAGTTATATACAATAAGTCACATGCCTGTCTCCACAGTGATATACAATAAGCCACATGCCTGTCTCCACAGTGTGATACAATAAGCCACATGCCTGTCTACACAGTGTGATACAATAAGCCACATGCCTGTCTACACAGTGTGATACAATAAGCCACATGCCTGTCTCCACAGTGGGATACAATAAGCCACATGCCTGTCTACACAGTGATATACAATAAGCCACATGTCTGTCTACACAGTGTGATACAATAGGCCACATGCATGTCTACATAGTAAGATACAATAGGCCACATGCCTGTCTCCACAGTGTGATACAATAAGCCACATGCCTGTCTCCACAGTGTGATACAATAAGCCACATACCTGTCTTCATAGTGATATACAATAAGCAACATGCCTGTCTCCACAGTGGGATACAATAAGCCACATGCCTGTCTCCACAGTGGGATACAATAGGCCACATGCCTGTCTCCACAGTGTGATACAATAAGCCACATGCCTGTCTTCATAGTGTGATACAATAAGCCACATGCCTGTCTCCACAGTGTGATACAATAAGCCACATGCCTGTCTTCATAGTGTGATACAATAAGCCACATGCCTGTCTCCACAGTGTGATACAATAAGCCACATGCCTGTCTACACAGTGTGATACAATAAGCCACATGCCTGTCTTCATAGTAAGATACAATAGGCCACATGCATGTCTCCACAGTGATATACAATAGGTCACATGCCTGTCTCCATAATGTGATACAATAGGCCACATGCCTGTCTC